GTCAGAATATTTAACACATTTAAGATTTAAACATTAGATTATATCCTGTCTGAAACAGTTTCTGAGAAAATGATGTGGTCCTTTCTCAAATGTCTATTTTCCACTGCTGCATTTAGCAATTTTTTCTGCGTTTTTTTTTTGCTTCTGAAGAATTTGCAACCAACCAAACAACAAACACAAGCAGGCCGCATGTGTGTTTTCTCTCATATTATAATTGATTTATTACACTGAGGCATCAGCAGTCGCAGGAACTGCTGAAGGCCAAAACACAATAAGGGACAAATCTGTAAGATGCATTTAGCTCTTTGCACGAAAAGCTGTTTAAATCTGCGGCCTCTGTAGCACTGGATGTCTAAACCTCAACCATAACCACAATTGTTGGGTTGATCTGAAAACTGTACCGTGCTCCTGTACGGCTTTCCTCTGCACTGTCAGAGACTCAGGATGCTGATAATCCATCAGTTACTGCGAGCGTCTGAGGAGGGAGGTGTAATGAGATGTGTTGGTTTTATCGAAAACCCTCATTTCATGAGGAGTATTATTATAGTCAAGCCTGCTTGTAAAACACATGCTCACCATTTCCTGACCAATGGGAGCACGTATGATTGGTTCTTTGACCCTCTTTAACATGTCGACACGCAGAAACCCAAGTAAGATAAGAAGATGTGTCATTGTGTTATCTCAGTCCAAACCCGTTGCATTCAGGGCCAAATGGGGCGTCCAACCATACATTCAGCAAACAGAACTAGAAGCTGTTTTTCATGGGTTTGATTTGGGCATTTTGAACACAGTCCATGAATAACACAGGTAATCTAAAACAGCACTCCAAGTGTGTCCTGTATGTGTGCATGAATTGTGTTTGTGGGAGGAGCTTACTGATAGATCTGCATAAAACTGTTTATTTTTACTTTTTGTTTCGATGTTCTTGCTTCTTTGAGTTCATATCATGTTCAGTTAGTTATCACCCACTTGGTTTTTATCATGTTCTACTCTTTTCAGTGTATCTTTGTTTGTTACTTCTGAGGTTTTTCTCCTGAGTAGTGCAAACTTATTTGCTTAACAGATTTTTTCACAATGGCTCTTCATTTGTCACCTGTCTAATAAGCATCCATGCACTGGAGAAATCATCCTCATACAGCCCTGAAAATGGCCTTTTCTGAATGCCTCTGTGGTGTTCTCTGAGCTTATAGAAGCCAAAACGATCTTAGTCAGGTTTCCTCGTAATTTATTTTCGTGAATTATGACTTTTATGTACTTTTAAAAGTTTGGATTTGTGGCCCTGGAAACATATTTTGGTAGTAGCTCAACAGTTTAGGTAAACAATGTATTTTAGAAAGGACCCCAGAGGGTACGGGCTGCCAAGGTGTCAAGAAGCTGGAGTCTATCCCGGTGGAAGCTGGTACAGAAGACATGGTAACCGTGGACACTCCATCACAGGCAGCCACATGCACTTCGGCTCTCATGGACAGGAAATCGGAATAAACAATTAGTCAAACATATTCTCATCAATGTTTGCTATAATTAAAAGTAAATTCCACACAGAAAAGCCCCAACCAATCAGAAGGAACCTTTTTCAACAGTACTAAAACAGAAGAGTATCCACAAAAAAACAATATTCATTAGCTCCAAATACACATAATATTAGAATCTAGAACAAAACTGATGTGAGATAAATTTAACTTGTGAATTTGAAGAACGGTGGCATCTTAGAGAGTTAGCAGATGTCCTAAAAAGCTGATTCCAGGTGGATGGGAATATTCTGTACAGCCAAACCACAGCAGGCCTCTAATAACATGTGATCTGATATGCTCCATTACTGACTGAGTCTCCACCCAGCACGGCTTTTGACAGGAACGAGTGAGTCCGATAAATCAGCTTGTTTTTCAGTGTTTAAACAGGCCCAGCCCATCAAAACCAGCGGTACCAGTGGCAATTATGCTTTCTCTTTGAATTGACGGACCCATCACATGCCAATGTGTGACAGGTGTCAGAAAAAAGGAAGATAAAAAGATCCTTAGTTTTTCTTATACTAATAGCAAAAAATAGAAAAACTAAAAATGATTAAGAAAAATGAAGGAACACAAGTGCAAAAAAGGGAGCAGATTGCGTTGAATTCATTCTTAACTTGATGCAGAAAGAAAAAAAAAAAAGTTTAGATAGATATAAAGAACCAATAAGGTCTTGACCAACCAAAGATTAAAAAGAAATTAACATTAAGTGTGTGGACCGCAATGCAAAATCCATGCTCAGGAGCAGGTGGAAAGAAATGGGAAAGTTCTGTCCGAAAATACTTCAGATAGAGCTAAAATAAAAAGTCTTTACACAAGCAAAGGATTCTTTCTCATCTTCACGTTTAGCAACAACCATTTTGTAACTCCAAACAGTGAAACATTAAGATAAAGAATTAAAAGATGTGCCTGGAAACAAAGGGCTTCACATCGAGCAACATCTTGTGTTGGTTTTGTGTGTGTGTAAGTTTGAGGAAGGAAATGTTCTAAACAGCTAAAGTCTTCAGAGGTACCCATGCATACTATTTAAGCCGTTAAATACAGAAGTATAGGTCTTTCATTTTAAATACATGGAATTTGGTCCAGATGGAGTCCTTTTTTGGGGGGAATAAGTCGACCAAAACCTATAGAATCCTTAATTAAAACGCATAAAGTGGAAGGCAGCTGCAGAAGGGGCACAAGCTTCTGACTTGGCAAAGTTACTTAAACATCGGTGAATAGATTATGGAGTTTACAAAAAGGGAAAGGAGCAGAAACCTCAGATGTCGTCCAAAAAAAGAGGCTTTATCCTTGAGGTTACGGCTTTTACGTAAATGAACGTGGGCTGGAGGACCACATGAATACAGAGCCTGGGCTCGGAGCAAAAACCTCAGAAGAATCCATCAAGATTTCTGCACTGATTAATAAAAACGCACACACCGTGAGTTCTCACGAATCGCACACATGTGCACATGCAAGTTTAAGAGACACTTATTCCTTTCATCAGCCATGGATTTCCCTTCCACTGACCACCCCCTCAAATCAGTGGAGTCCCAGACTTCTTTTTCCCATGTAAAACACCAAATGAAACAGTCCTCCCTGGTTTGATGAGCCCGTCTTTTTTTTTTTTTTGAGGATGCTTCTCTCTGAGGAGAGCCATTCATTAGAGCACGCCACCCACAAGGCAGCGCACCGACCCTTCAGCCTCACACCAACAATCTCCACAGGCCAAAGCATGTGGCTTTGGGGTGGGCTGACGGTTTTTCCCGCTCTGCTGACCCTGTTTCCACTTTTCCTTGGAAAATCCTCCCAAACCCCGGCAAATCTTTAGGCCCGTAATTTGGGCAAAAGACCCGGGATGAAGAATAACTTCATTCATGAGCTTCAAGATATGTCGAACTATTTTACATCTAATCGCTCAAATGTTGCCAATCATAAATGAAGGATTAAGCAATATCTTTTGGAGACCTTTCGGACCGTCGCTGAATAAATTCTGACAGCTTTGGACATCAGTTGTTGTTGGTTTGTGGGGTTTTCTGTTTTTCGCTTTGCAGCTGAGCTGAGCTGAGAAGAGGAGATGGACTCGTATTGTAATACAGTGCCTACTTTTACCACGAAAACCCCCAGGGCAGCACTGTCCAGTCGGCTTTGGGTGAACCTGAGCAGACAGCACATCCGCGCACAGTTGCCCTGCAAACACCATTTCCCCATTAGCTCTACTTACGTTTGCCTGGCGCCAAATCAAACAGAGGTGGCAACACCAGAAAAGTCCCGAGAACCTTTGACGTGAATGCTGAGAGGAAGACGCCACCAATGAATTAACGGCTGAATTATGTATCATACGCTTTCTTACTGTGTGACTTTTCACAATGATGTTCTTCTTTGGATGCTTCTTGATCTGGTTCTCTAAACTAACAGCAAACACTTAAATAAAGCCAGCAAATTATAGAAAATGACGCATTCCATCTACCCTCTACCTCACAGGAAACAAGTGAGAATTTAGGTACTTTCGCATGATGTCGTCCAACCACATAAGCATCATGGGGGGGGGTGGGGGGGGGGGGGGGTGCTCAGAGAAAGAAGCCAGGGATCATGCGGTGATTAGACGCTGGATTGAACACTGTGATGTTAATCAATCCGGATTAATCCCACAGAGCGATCGGGGTTCACGTTGCCGGTATCCCGGTCAGATTGTTGCTGCAGAGCGACCGTAAACACGCTGAGTTGTTGTCCTCTGAAAACTTTAGCCTAATGCAGAGAGACGGCCTGCCAGGGAAAGCGCTGCAGACACAATGGAGCTCTGCCAATGTAGAGTCCCGGGCTGCAGCGTGAGCCTCTGGCAGCAGCTCAGAAGACAGAAAGGCCTGTGGAACACCCGCACATTCTGTTTGGTCAGCTCGCGGCGGCGGGCCAGCGGCCAGCAACACCGCTGCTTTTGTGGATTTACAGAGAGAGATCTGGGCGACGCGCACAGGACGTGAAATAGCATTTTTTTACATTTTCAAACAGCTGGTTTGCCAGTTCTTCAATGTTTTTTTTTTTCCACCCTGGCAAAAATGCAGGTGTTCCTCCCGTCGACCACCAGGTGTCTGCCTTGTCTCTTTGGGCCTCCTGAGCAGGCCTTTACGACACAGGCCAAGCCACTGCACGACCATTTGAGGACATTTATATCTTTATATTTGAGGACATTATTAATGAAATGACCCACACCACTACTAACACTGGAAATCAAATACACACAAGCATCGCAAAGAGGCCAAAAGTGACCTCAAACAGAAAATGAAGTGACAAAAAAAACCCTGTTTACAACAAAAAATGAAATAATACAAAACACAAGAAAATCAAACTTACAGGACAAAAACTTTACATGCGTTCATTTTCAAATGCTTTGTTCAGAGTTTGAACATTTTAGTCAGTCTTTCTAAGACTTGAAATCCAGTCCATGAAATATATGAGGGATTCAAATTATTAGTAGTTATTTATTTATTTTCCGGCTTAACAACATGTCCAGAAGGACAACACTAGCTTATTACATTTCTTTCTCCCAACCTCATATCTTTCAGCCTGACTATTAAGTTTCCCCCTGTGTGCTGAAGAAGGGCAGCTTACTCAGGTACGTGCGCGTCTTGCACATCACCAGCCCGTAGTAGGTCTTCAGAAGTGAGCACCTTCCACCCTTCTGGAGCAGATCCGTCCACACTCTTTCCAACTGGTGGGCCCCCATCCCGGCAGAGCTGAACAGGTGGCGGTAGCAGCAGGCGTTGTAGTGGACGTGCCTGTCTCCTGAGAATCTGGCGCTGTGGGTGGGCGCCACGCCGGCCCTCCGGGCGCACAGCCCCACGAACACGTCCACCGGCACGGGCGCCAGGACCCCGGCCGAGGCCACGTAGACTTTGCGCACCACGTCCTGGGACAGGACGTAGGCGGTGCCCTCGCAGTATTCGGGCAGGTGCCTGTCGGGGTAGAGCGCCCGGGGCAGATACCAGGGGCTGCTGGGGTCCCTGTCCGGAGAGTCGCTCTGGATGACCCTACCCAGATACAGGTCCTCCGGGTGCCGGTGCAGACCCAGGAGGTAGCCCCCGAGGGCGGGGAGGTTGATGAACACGGACTCCTTGGTGAGCAGAACGAAACGCGCCAGGGGACAGAAGGCGATGACCCAGCGCAGGGCCAGGACTGTCCACTCGGTTGACCCTCCCACAGCGTGAGCTTGCACCATGTCCCCGTAACGTTCGGACTCCCTCGTGATGGCCTCCTGTTCAGCGGAGCTCTGAGTGGATCCTAAGAAGAACAAGGTCTGAACTGGAATCCCCTGGACCAGCGTTTGGTTGGCCCACGTCCTCCTGACCGCGTCTCTTTGGGTGACGTTACCCGGGGAGCTGAAGACCAGCGTGAGGAGGAAGAGGCGGGAGTTCTCGCACGCGCGGGGACTGGAGACGGGATAAGCCCGGGACACGTTCTCCTTGGCGTCGCTCAGGTCCAGCTTTCGCGCTTTCTCCCTCACGCCCACCACCGCGCCGTCGGCGTAAACCCCGGGCGTGGGCTGCAGGAGGTACTCCTCCACGAAATCCGCCCCGAACAACAAAGCATGGAAGAGCAGCACGTTGAAGAGGAGGAAGCACCACTGGTGGGTACGCAGCTTGCACAGGGAGAACTGGGGCATCACGAGAGAGAGAGAGAGAGAGGGAGAGGGAGTCTGTGAATTGCCATGGAAGTTGAACATGAATAATAATTAACAAGTTTCGAAGACTAAACTCCATACCTGCATGACAGCTGGTTCAGCGGCCTTGCTGTTCATCCGTTTAGCAGCTGCAGGTGACGATGGGACCTGTTGCCGGGGCCGACTCAACAACAATAACCGATGACAGAAAGGGTTTCCACTCCCCTGAAACTCTAGCAGCATGTAACCCTGCACCCAATCATCAGTTCAGGTCCTCATTAAAAGGAGTGTGCCCTGCATTCGGCATTCATAATTAATGACATGTTGGAAAAAAAAAAAAAGCCAGTGGAGGGCTGAATAGTTCAGCCAAGCTGTTAAAGTCTAATGTTAGTATTTGTGACCTATATTATTCAAGTCCACACATTTCTGCATCGAGTATTCATATTATAAATCTTGTTCATTATTCTTTTACATCATAGAGTCGGAAACACTATTTACACTACACTACTTTTTACATAAACTCTATGTCTAGTCTAGTCTTGAGTGATGTTCTCTATATTTATTGTAATTCCTTGCATCTCTGAGATGAACAGCTGACTTTCATCCATGATCTGCAGTAACTATGTCCAATAAATGACCCAACAAAATGCGTACAAAGATATTATCCAGGTAATTGTTATTTACTCAGGAGTAAAGATGCTACTGAACATACTTTACAAAGATTTTTTAAACTATTATCAATTCATAACAGTTTAACAACTTAACTGACATAAACGGTCATTCGGTCAATGTTCTTTGTCACTGCCAACACAAATAATGCAAGGAATGTACAAAAAGTGTCAGTGTTATATCTATATATTATCACATAAACGAAAATAGGGCGATGCTGAATTCCTTCAGGACTGAAAATAAAAAAAGGATGGTGTATTAAAAAGTACAGCCAGCAGATGGCAGTGTAAATTGAAGGATCACCGAGTAAACTACGCGAAGAAGAAAAAGAACTGGAAGAAGAAGAAATGTGACGTCACGCCAGAGCTAGGCGGATACGTTTGACGGTAGTTTCCAAACATTGACAGTCATGGCCGCTTCCATTCACAGTTTACTGGAGGAAATCTCCGACGTGGAAGACCCAAATGAAGAGCTACAGAGCTTAAAAACAGCTCTGCTATCGATCCCAGTCAGCGCTCTCAGAGACTCAGTCAGCGGGCAGCGGCTCGATGCGATTTTCTCTCTGCTCAACTCCAACAATAGGTTGGTTGGAGCCGTGGAGCTCTGTGCACTCTCAAACTGTTGCCTGTTAACTGCTGAGTCAGTCAGCCAGCCAGCCAGTCAGTCAGTCAGTCAGTCATACAGTCAGTAAGACAGTTATCTGGATCAACATGTTGTAGACAACCGTGGGAAGCTAAAAGGCTTCATTTAGCTAAAGCTAACAGTTCTGAAGCAGAGATCCTGCAGAACCAGAGTCCACAGCCTCTGTGCAGCCTTCTCCTTCACGCTATTGGACATAAAACGAGCCAGTGTGTTGAAATAGTGTTAGAATTTTTCTGTGTAAGCTTCCTGCTAATTGTAGTTGAGCAGATATTGTTTCCTGTTTTACACTTTGTTCATTTTTTTCGTTTCATTTCAGGGATGCAAAACAATGAGATGAAACAAAGGGGGTTGAGAGTTGAGAGTTTAAACTCAAAACTCTATAGAAAACAAATATTTTCTCAAAACATTTCCATTCACATGAACTAACTTTCTCAACCGTTCTGCATTTAATCTCTCACATCTGATGCTTTCTTAACATTTTGGTCATTTTTGCGTGATTTTCTTGCTTTTGTTTGTGTGTGTGTGTGTGTTTTGCTGCTGTTGAGTAAATATCTGACTGGTTCGGAGCTCACAGTGAGACCTGTGTTTGCAGGGAGACGGTTGAGCTCTGCGTGGAGATCCTTGAACGCATCCTGATGGCGCTGGGCCCCGTGCATCTCGTCCAGAGCTACGGAGTGGAGCTGCAGGGGGGGCTGACCCATCCCGATGAAAACGTGAAGAAACTGGCCCTGACGCAGGTAGGCTGCACGTCGTGCAGGGACGCACAGCTTAAAGGAGCCGGAGTGTGTCAGCGATATCAGCTTTTGTGGGTTTTATGCTTCAGATCGGCAGAGTGATGGAGCACCCGGACGCCCTCTCGGTGATTCTCAACAACCACGAGCTCCTGCGAGCGGTGATCCTCAGTATCGGAGAGGAGAAGATCTCTGTGGCCAAACAGGTGACGGCTGTCCCGCCTTAAGGACGTTTTTTTTGGCATTTAAAGACACAGTGTGTGTCATAACATGTTGTCTTCCTCCCCTTTGGCCCTCAGGCGATCCAATCCCTGTCTAAACTCAGTCACTCCAAACCCGGATTGGACAAAGTATTTCACAGTGATTTGCTGAAAGTGGTAAAGGAGGTGATGGCGACAAGTGACATCATCAGGTACAGAGTGTATGAGGTACGTTTCACACTCACAGACCCACAGAGGACACCTGATCTTCAGCTCAAACCACCATCAAAATCTCCAGAAAATAAAGAAGCTGAACAATTTTATGCAAAAACCTTAGTTTTCTATATAATTGTTCGAATCTTGGCTTTTTTTACTTGATTACGAGTTAATTTATCTTGAGCGTGATTCTTTTCTCCTAGATAGTTTTTATTCACAATATGATTTCACAGAAATGGCTAGTTTATCTGTTTTTATCTGCATTTCTTTCACAATATGTCCTTTTTTCTTACAACACTGAAAGATTCTGATGTGTTCTTCTCTCTGCCTGCAGCTGGTGGTGGAGATCTCATCCCATTCTCCCATTTCTCTTGGTTACTGTGCCAACAGTGGCCTGATTTCTCAGCTGCTCGGTGAACTGACAGGCGATGATGTCCTAATCAGGTAGTGACATCTTTTCCATCAGTAAAATGTGTGAAAACATGTCATTTTCCAGCTGCATTTAAATGATGTTTATGCCCCATCTGATGCTCGGTCCAATTTTCCCCTTTTTTTTTCCCCTCATCAGAGCCACAGCCATAGAGATGGTGACCACTCTGGCTCACAGCCAGCACGGCCGACAGTATCTGGCTAAGCACGGCATCATGGATAAGATCTCCAACATGATCCGGGGCGCAGAAACGGACCCTTTCTCCTCGCTATACCTTCCTGGTGAGTCTCCCTAAAAACTGACCCAAACCGGGCCATAAACAGGATCCATTTACCCTCAGTAAATTCTAATGTGTGCACTATGGATAAACTATCCTATTCAATTACCTCGAAGCTTTCTTCTAAACACTCATATCATCAGAGGAAAAAAGGAAGCATAAGAACTAATTGTGATGTAAATCTGGCTGTTATAGGTTTGGTGAAGTTCTTTGGGAACCTGGCCGTCATGGACAGCCCACAGCAGGTGTGTGAATCCTATCCGGTCTTCCGGGCCAAGGTGTTTGAAATGGCTTTGGATCCGGACCCTGTGATGATCGGGGTGGCTCTCGACACTTTGGGGCTACTTGGAACCACGGTGGAGGGGAAGCAGGTCCTGCAGAAAGCGGGTAGGTGTGGATCCTCCCCATTTACGTGGCGGTTTTCGCTGATTTAACGGGATCTTTGCAAATCTTTTTCCGTCTTTAGGAGAAAACTTCAAGCCTGTGCTGGTGAGAATGAGCCAGCATGCCGGTTCCGGAGCTACCGAGCTCAGAGTTCGCAGCTTGGACGCCTTATCTCAGCTTCTCACTCTGCAGGTGCTTGTGTGAATAAAATAACCGGAGACGTCTAGTTCTGTTCCACGAGCGAGAGTCTAACCGGTTAACGGTGTTTCCACTCCCGTTGCAGCCAGAGAACCAAACAGAAGACCTGTTGGCCCTGACGGAGTCCTGGTTCCGCCTTTTGTCCAACCAGCCAATGGACATGATTCGCAACATCAGCACTCAGCCTTTTCCGGAGCTGCACTGTGCAGCTTTACGGATATTTACTGTAAGCGTCTTCCAAACCAGACACAGACCTTTTGTTTTTCTGCATTTCACAAAGAATGCGATAAGCTTTATCTCAGTCATAATGTGTGCGTTTGTTTTCCAGGCCATTGGCACTCAGCCGTGGGGTCAGAAGCTGATGATGAGCACGCCCGGGTTCATGGAGTTCATTCTGGACCGCTCCACCGGTCAGACAAAAGAGGCCAAGGATGCCAAGTTTGAACTGGTCGGCTCTCTCGTGGGTTCGTCCACGGCCACCGAAATTCTGGGGAGTCAGCACTACATCCGCCTGAAGACGTATCTGAGAGAAGGACCGTACTACGTGTCGGCCGTGGCCTCGGTCGGCATCGAAGGAGCAGAATGATGACCCCACAGTCTGGTACACGGCCCCGGGGCCACTCGATGCTTAAGTAAAGAGGTGAAAATCGAAGGAAAAACAGTCTAAGGCCAAAATTCTTTAAAACATAGGAATCCCCTTGGTATCATCGCACCATTGGTGCTTTGCACTGAACATCCCCACAGACCCCCATCCAAGCATAATTATCTATGCATGGTTCAACAAAAACTACTGAAAAGCCTTTCGTTCACCAGTTACTTCAGTCATGATTCAAGAGGCCTGGAAGTTAAAAACACAGACTCTGTCTAAACTCACACGACCAAACAAACGCGCGTCCTCCTTTCTGAACACTGATCTCCAGAGGTCTCACTGGATCCCTCTGTTCTCATCCATGTTTGTATTTTCTTTATTGAATAGAATTTTTGATAAATAAACATGTGAAAATTGAAGTTGGTGTTTTGTTGGTTTGAAGTTTGCGCCTGGGAGCAAAACAGCCCACTCAAGTCTATTTTTTTTTTAAAGCAGCAGGTTCTTTTCCACTGATACTGAAACTACTGATACGTTTTTTTTTTAATGTAGTGATTCAGGAAAACACCACTTTATCTTCACCACCTGATGAAAAATGATTAATAAGTGTAATAACGGTAAAATACTGCACAGCAGGACCGTTTTAGAGCAGCTACACTTCAGATAAGTTACCTCTTAGTTAGTTATCTAACGGTTACACTTGTTACTATTTTCTTGAAGATGACATTAAAACATTAAATAGTCTGTCCATGGACATTTCTTAACTTTGATACCTTTAGCAGAATTTTTTAAAAATAATTCCACTAAATTTTTCAAATTCAGATTTCCAGATAGTTTGATTTAAATAACTAAATCTCAGAGTATCATGAATGCAGAAGAATGACTGGATTACCTGTAAATACACCATCTCTTCCACTGTGGATGAATCATGTTGAAATAAACACATGAACGCCCTCAAACGATTTGAGACTAAAACTATTTGAATAAACTATTTTACTGTTGTCATTGTTTAGTTTTTCTCTTAATCATATCAAACAAAATTACTTAGAAATCTAGATTTAAAGTATAATAAATGAACACGCAATGGAATTTGTAATGGGAGAGGGAACAAATAAAAGCTAATGCAGAAGGCACGTTGACAAGAGACAAGTTTCTGTTTTCGACTTCCTTTTTTTAGATTTCCAATTTGTGCTGTGAGGCACCATGCAGGGGTCGGGATCAGGCAGCACAGAGGCTGCAGACGCCAGATGGAGACGGCCAAGTCACAGGGGAAAGATCCGACTTCAAACTGTGGGCAGACACACTCCAGCCCTCCGACGTGATCATGCGTCCTCCCCTCTGCCACCTCACTGACCACTCTCATTTTTACAGAGCTAAAAAGAACTAACATCTTTTGGGGCTTTTGAAAAACATTTTTTAGCTGTGATTAATTGATATGAAGGTGTTTAAGTTTTTAAAGCCATTAATTGTGGAGTGTGTGCACCCTCTCCAGAGTCTGGCTCCATGTTTTCTGCTCAACATCCATCAGATACGATGTGTTCATTTTACACATCCATCCAGGTGTGATGGCACAGAATTGACATTTTCTTTCATCTTACTTTTCACCAGTGAGCACTGCCTCAGTCCCAAATGTCCATCACGAGCTCGGAACTCTTCAGCAACCTCATGTCACCTTCTCCCCTGTGAATTCTGTCACCTCACCCACGTCTTCTCTGCTCTTGCTCGACTTCGCGTCAAGAAAACAACTAAAACGTTTCAGTATTTCCATGCATCTTTTTTAGTTTTGGTTTCCCAGTACAGGGACTGAAAGCCCTCTGTTGGAGCAAAGAGGTCTTCAGTAATCTTTATAATGTCTGTGAACAGGACGACAATGCAGAAACCATTTCAGTAAACACACCAACAGAAAGCCTGAAATAAGTATTACAAAAAGATTCCAGCTCCAAATCATTTCAAGAAACAGCAAAACAGAAAGTGTGCACAACAAAATGTTACTACATCGTAGTTTTTTTAATCAATCTTATTATCTGAAATATTGTTGGATTCTTTAATATGTTTTTAGTGTTTTATAATGAATGTAAAGCACTCTGTAAAGAACATAAAGTCAATATTTTCCCCCTTGAACTGTCACATGTTGGAGAGATTCCTGCTTTAAATCAAATGATTCATCCTAAAGAAAACTGTGTTTATTGATGTCATTTCATTTTTTATTCTGGGGAGCTGAAAAGATCCAGAGTCTCCAACAGATGGAGCTCATCTGTTTCGCTCCTGATCATGAGTTAGGTGATCATTCAACAGTTGTGTTGACTGACTGCTGCAGACCTGTGCGTCTCTACACCCCCCCAGTGCCCCCCCTCAGTTTTTTTAGTTCCTGCTGGCTGACCTAATTACCCCTCCTGCATTTCTTTAGTTTTCCCGCTTGACTTCAGTGGCCGGCCTTCACTTTGCTGGCTGCCTCTTTCTGCGTGGGCAGGAGAATAAAGTCCCCCCCCCAAATGCACCTGTGTAGGTGAGAGACGCGCACGCGCGCGCGCACGGGGGGGGGGGGGGGAAGAGACCAGCTTCCGCCTCTACCAGAGCGCGTCTTTCTCTTCTGGAGTCCGCTCCTGTCTGGCAAGATCGCCCCTCCGATGCAATTAACCCAGGAAGACCACTTCGTGAAGCCGACCACCGCAGACCTCCAGCCCGAAGCAGGCGCCGGATCTCCGGCCAAAATGTGCAGCGAATGCTACGTCAACCAGTCGTTCGTGCACGACGACGGGACAGTGAACGAACACAAGCCACGGTAAGAATGCACACCGGGAACTTTCTGCATCATCTACCACCTCAGTTTGTGCTCTCGGTATGTCTCACCCTTGTAATAATTGCATTGATGAGAGTTTTGTTCATTGAAAACTCTGGAAAGTTCATTTTTTTCAATTGTGCATTGACTAAACATCCAGATTTTTGCATGTTATTTCATTCAAATATATGGACAGTTGGGAATATAATTGCATTTTTAATTCCAGTCACGTTTAAGTTATGTTATGGTGCACAAAAAGTGAAGAAAATGACTTAAAATGTAAAGTGGACACAAGTCCACCCGAGCTGAACGCGCAACTTCTCACTCTACAAAGAAGCTGTGATATCCAAATAAGTCATCAGCTCTGCTGTGTGTCACCAGAGAACTGAGTGCAGCTCCCGTGTTTGCTTTGGATTAGTTTGGTTAGACTAATGGATTTCACACACCCTCCAGGGAAATAAATGCTTATCAAATATGAAAGAACTCTGACAGCCAGAAAAGGAGCTTATGGCAGAGATGGGGAAGAGGATGCTGGATATGTCTTCTTTTTTTTTTTGGGATGATGTCATCTGTGTTTCTAGGAGACATAAAAACCACAGCTGTCGTCTCTCATCAGGAAAAATAACGAGCCATCGTACTTGTTTTAGTTTCTGTACTGAAGCTTTACGTTTGACTGATATCCAGACTCCTCCGTGCTGTTAAGGCATAAATCAGCACGCTGGAGTTAATTAGTGGTTTCTAATTTCTCATTTACCCAAATGACTGGCATCACTTCGTCTTCCCACATGCTTTTCTTCCAGAGCCAAAGGTAACATCCCAACATACCGTGCAGCTTGTTTTCATGTCAAACACAGGCCCTGGGTGGTAGTTTAGATTTATTTTGTTTGAGGTCAGGACCGGTGGAAGTTTAGGGGTGAATATGCTTTAAAAGAATAGAGTACACATTTCTGGTGGCTGCGAAGTGATCAGCGAGGGATGGAAATGAGAGCAAATGTAACTCCCTGTGCTGTGCACTGCTGCCTTGAACTGTTTTCTCATCTGGAATGCATCGTGTTCTTTTCTGCATCGGTGTAGGTTAGATTATATTTTTCTGAAATGATGGAAATACCGTGAATGAAATTGTGAAGTTACTGACTCGTGGCCCGTTGACAAAAGCTGTTTACTCTTCAATGTCTACACTTTTGAAAAGGATCACAGGTGAAGCTTTTTTTCTGCTCTGATCCAAAGATGATTATCTCAGTGTTCATACACACAAAAAAGCACAAGGTACACATGTTTAACGGTGTGTTTTCTGTCCTTGTTAACCCATTCCAATAGAAATCTCACCATGTTTCACTTTTCCATTCCTCATTTCCTTTCTTTGCCCCCTTTCCTTACTTGTGCCTCTTTTATTCTCTCTTTTCTTTCCAGCGCAGTTTCTTTTTTAGCGCAGTCCTCATTTCTTTTCTGCCTCTTTATTTTTCTCCTCTTCCCCCTCTAGCCCCTTTCCAGCCCCTCTGCAGACCAGCAGCGGCAGCAGCAGTGGGGTTATTTTAGACATCTCCTCTCTGAAGATGGAGCAGCAGGAGAGCGAGGTGCCCCCTCTGCCGCCCCGCTTCCGCTTCAGAGACCTGCTGCTCGGGGACCAGAACTTCCAGAACGACGACAGGTAGGCAGCGGTGCGGACACAAACAGCCTCTAACTAACAGAGACGGGGGAAGAGATGCTATCAGTTATGAGCAGACGCATCAGATCCTGAGTCGACACTGGTGGAAAACTGCTGTGTGTGACAATCTTAAACAAAATGGAAAAAAATTGACAGTTTCCACCCCTTTAATTCCATACTTTTATCATTTCCTCAAACTTATAGCATAAAAAATATACAGGATATCCTACTGGAGTTGTGCATGCTTGGTAAAATGTAAAAACATGTATAAATGGATATAATCTGAAGTATACAGTGGTATCTACTTCTTCTTTTGGCCTTTATCTGTCCAGTTTCCCTCATTTTAAGGACACTAGGATAATATAAGAATAGAGAATTATGTAAGTTTTTTTATGCTGCTTTTATTGGTTGATGCTACATAGGCTTAAACATTTTGTTAGGTCCTTTTTATGTTTCAATGATCCAAGGAAAAATAATAAGGCCTGAATGGAAAAATAAATGAAAAAGCTGAAACGAGTTTGACATGAAAATAAATGGTGGAGAAATATTGGTCAGGGTCACTTTATAAGATACAAAATGGCAGGTAAACATAAAGAAATGAGTGGAGTCCCTGGATCTTTAAACAGACAAGTATGAGGATTGTTTTTTTCTCTCTTTTCTGCTTTTTGTTTTTCACACATTACAATTTGATTTATTATCATTCTAACTGCTGTTCAGTTTTGCCGACTACCACAAATGCCTCTAATTGGCATTCAAACCCACTTGGTATACCTCCGCAGCACTTATTGGTTGATTGGGAAAAGCTCTTAAATTGTTGGGGAGTTGGGGAGCTGTCCATGGTGCTGAAAACAGGATTTATACTAGTACATAAATGCGGCTTAATCTTGCGCATTTTCTTTCTCAGGCTTGTATAACTCTATGAACTAATTCACGATCAAGACTTACAGTTGGATTCATCCATCAGCATCCGTTTCTCACCTCTGCTCTTTAACTGCCTGCAGCATCTATGCCAGATGGACGAATTGTACATCCACTTTCATCAGATCAGTTTGGCATGTGACTCACAAAGGCACCACAGATACTGAGCTTCACCGAATCAAAGTCTCAGAAAGAAAGGAAAGCACAGGAGAAGAAGCATATGTTGTTTTCCTGTCGGCGCACACCTTTTGAACCGCGGCATTTGTTCAGTGTGAGGTCCTCCTGACCAAACCAAACCATCACATACGATATTAGATCCACAAACGGCTCCGTCCAGCCTTCCAGACTGCACTGATGTCTGCAAAGTTTTCAGCTTTTAGTCGAAAATGACCATTTCCCAGCTGCCCTTGCAACAATCACCGTTTTTCTCCTCATAAAAAGCCTACAGTAGCAGCTCCTATTTAGACGATTATCAAAGTTTGTCCGTTCTGCCCCTAACTTCGAAAAAAGCAAGGTGTTGCTGGAGGTGAAAGATGCTACAGGTCACGTTGGCCGTGGTCATCCTCCAGGTCTGTCTCTGAATCAGAAGCTATCATCAATCTAAGCAGAGACATCCGTCACGTAGAGGATGAGTGAGCCCCAGCAAAATGTCAGCTCAAAATAGAGCAGCGTATGCATTAATGCATACAGCATGTTACATATTTTTTTATTTTGAAAGCTCTCATTATCTTGTTTCTATGTAAAGTACGGATGTGCTAAATGTAGAGATGTATAACAACAGAAGAAAAATGTCACATATTTTTACAGGTGGATGTCACGGTGTAGGGGAAAGTGCCTCCGTGCCACATTAAGAGGCTGCACCTGCGTGGGCGAAACGGATTCGAGTAGAGTGACCTGTTCCGGTTTTTCTCAGAAGCACAGAGTGTTGGAGGGAGTCATCTATCAATTAGTGTGTCAGACCTTTCGCATTCAGACTAGACGAAAAGGTCAGAAAAACAGAAGATAGAAGGGAAGTCCCCTTGACTTTTAGTTTCTGCCTTGAGGCGTGCGGTGGTCCACCACTGGAGCACCATGCTGAGCCTCTAACATCACAGATAAACTCCGTTCTGCTTCTTCTGATAAGGAGGGGGATGCAAAAAGACCCTGTGAGCCATTAGGGCCATTTGAATCCTGGTTGATACTGACGCCGTGTTTCTCCTAAAGCTCAGTTCGGTTGTCGCGAACGCCTGCAGCTTTCTTAGGTTCTGCAGGGCTGCAAGAGAGGACCATGCTGCTGCAGCTTCAGTTGGGGTTATTCCTGTCATGGTAATGTTGCTGTGGCAACAGGCCCGCGCACCAAGAGACAAAAAAGAGAGAGTGACTGTACACGGTTCAAGAAACATTCCCATTCCCCGCGATAAATGACGAATCCGACACAGAACGGGTTTTATTCCGTGGCTTCTTGGAATCAGTGTGTTGTTTTTTTACAGCTGCTGTAGGAATTTTTAGACCCGCTGCACGACACGGCAACAAGTGCGCGATGGATCCGGAGAGCATCGTCCACACCTGGGTCAGTCCGGCCGCCTGGAGGTCGGACGCTCTCGGTAGCGATGGCGGGCAGAGGTAGGGCCGGGAGGAGAAGGGGTCACCCTGTGGTCTGCACGTTTTCTTGATGTCCGCCGAGGGCTGAGCTTGCCATCGCACAGCGTGTTGTTCGGTAATTACGGCTCAGCAGAGGAACAAAAGGAAGGACAGAACGTCTCAACAGTTTGACAAGCGACCCAAAAACTGCCGCGCAGCACAGAGCTCAGTGCCTGCATGCTTATTTATAGTTTTATGATTAGTATCTCATTCCCGAACGCAGGAAGTAGCTTGAACTGACGGTTGTAAATAGTTTGGAAATCTGTTTTATGTTTTTTTTGGTTTTTTTTGTGTACATTTTATTTTACTAACTTAAGGAGTAACCCAATAATCTCACACTTGTCCCTTGTCCTGCAGGCAAACTGATGTGTTTCTGTTTCACGGCTGTAACGTGATTGCATTTACAGGATTTGCTCAGTTGAGACTGTTTGAAACTGTGCTTCTTATGCCCCGAAACTTCCAACATGTCGCTGGAGTGTGACTAATGTTGGATCTCTTGAGTTTGTAATTGCGTACACTCAACAGGCAGGATCTGATTGAGGGTCATTAAACGCACCGTTAGAAGCACGTGTGCGTGTGTGGGTAGAGGGCTGGCACCCCCCAGACAGACAGACAGGCACACAGAGAAGAAGTCCGTGGAAGTCTCATTATTGGAAAAACAGCTCTCAGATGAAGTGTCTCTATCATTTCTGCCCCGCTGCTGGCCAGATGTCGGCTTTGCCTCAGATCTCATTGCAGATTTGTTTTCTCTTCATCGGTTGCGTCTCTATGGGGTATTCCACCCTCTTGGGTGTAATATTTCTGACATACACTCTTGGAAAAGCTGTCCACAGAACTGCTCTGTTTCTATCTGCGTGGCTTAACAGGCCTTTGTTCAGACCTCACTGACTGTTTTCTTTTGAGCTATTAATGTCACTCTTGACATTTATTCCGAAGAGTTTTTGAAAAATTCATATTTCAAATTTTCCGTCCTTCAGCTGCTGTTTTCAAGCTAATGTGAAAAAGGTGTCTTCAGAGTGCAAAAGCTAATTTCTTTCAGTATATAAAAGCTTAATTATTCAGATCTGTGTGCCTTTTTAACACTTGATTATTACTTATTTTTTTGCACAAAAGACAAAAAGACCCACTTACGCTCCTCTTTCTGCTCCAACGGACCCCCACACTGTGATAAATCATCTTATGTGAGTTTGGTAAAAGCTGCATGGCCTGCAGTAACCCTGGTTGGCAAAAGGGAACCAATTCAGAGAGGTAATTACCTGACTCCCTCCAGGTAAATGATTTGGAAAAACAGCAAGATGAAAATTTGTGTTTTATTAACATCTCGGTTTTGAAAAACAGCCCGGCTGCTCGCTCTGCTCTTGTTGCTGATTAGTGTGCGTCTGTTGTTCTCCTCTCTTTTTGTGTTAGAGTGCAGGTGGAGTTTTATGTCAATGAGAACACATTCAAGGAGCGTCTGAAGCTGTTCTTCATCAAAAACCAAAGATCCAGTGAGTGACAACGGCAAAGTAAAAAATGTTGATTTGGAAAAACAGTCGAATTGTTTGGAACGGTAAAGCAGCTTTCCGTTCCTCTTGTCACCAGGCCTCAGGATCCGCGTGTTCAACTTCTGCCTGAAGCTGCTCACCTGCCTGCTGTACATCATCAGAGTGATGACGGACAACCCCGGCCAGGCCGCCGGCAGCAGCCACAGCAGCGCGCCGCAAAACACACAGAGCGACAACAGCAAATGGTTTGTTCCCTCGTGGAAGCATACCTGCTTTTTTTTTCAAGCGTATTATCTCACAAACATCTGTTAACACTTGTACTGCATTAAATAGCAAATGAACAAGCGTGATTATCGAATGTTTGCGTGAAACGATTGTGTTGCCTTTGATTAGATTGTTCCTATTTGATCTTATATGTGCTTCTGTTTTAACACTTTGTTTATATTTGCAGATGTTTATCATGGTTATTGTATTTCCTTGATATTTCATTAACGTTTAGTGTGAATCCATTTTATTCAAATTGGGCTTTGAATGTGCCGTATAGATAAAGACTGTTAGCGTCGTGTGAATGGGGAGATGATATGTCAGTGGATTCAGTATGTGCATACTAAATACAGTATGAGGATTCAGAATGCATTGGCCTTAAAGGCTGTTTCTGAGTCCTATCCCAAACTGGGGACTGATTCTGCTGAGGACAACAAGCCAAACTCTGAAACTGTTAAAGGGCCCTAATGGTGTGTGTGAAGAGAGATTTGCTGAACATTTAGTCTTTTTTAACTTTTTGCACATTAAATCTTAGGGAACGACATGAAGGAAACAAAAAAAGACCTTTCGGTTGTCGGTACATTATTTGCTAAAGAAATTTGAAAATGTCAAATCGGCAGACTCTAAGTAGAACAGAGAGAAAGGCAGGGTGTACTAACATGTTCTGTGAGTTCAGATCCTATACGGGTTAGATGAGTAGGTGTTTTCTGAAGAGGCGAGTCTTTAGATGCTTGAGCTTGGAGAGGGACACCCCTGCTCTGAAGGCCCTTGATGACTAGTTCCATCATCATGGACCCTCAAATGAGAACAGCGTCACCAGAAACTAAATAAAGGAGAGGGGACATCAGGCTGTTTGACTGAGTTCAGATAACAGGGTGGAGACTCCACAGTCTGTGATCAACGTTAGCATTTTGAATCATCGGAGTCCTGCAGTCATAGGGAGTCACTAGAGTGACTCCTGTCACCCTTTTTTTGGGAGATCTAACAACAGATGAGCATCCGTAGGGGTTTCTCTGAGCAGGCAGGTTGACATGCTGGTACAAAAGGTTTCATAGTGGGAAAACAGACAGAATAATGACCTGGAATGAGGACTGGGAGTAAAGCGAGTCAGAAAAAAGCATGATGTTTCTGATGTTGCAGAGTTTAAAGTGCCATGACAGAGGGACAGCTGACAACGTGTCATCAGTTACTGCAGCCACGTTTCTTCCCGCCTTTGTTGTGTGTCCACATAAAGTGTCATTTCTGTCATTTTTCCTGATTCTCCGCACGATCACGACTCCGCAGTGTCGACTGCCAGTGGAACGGATCAGTGCAGGACAGAGAAATTAACTGGTAAGCAGCAGAAGGTGCCGTTTTCTGTTAGCGGGGACTCTCTCAGTCTTTCGCTCAGTCTTTCATTTCTCATCTCCAAACCTTGTCAGGTCGTCTCGCGTCAGTGTTTTGCTTTAGCGGCTGCGGCTTGTTGTTAATATTAATGTAAAGATGTACCCAAAAGCTCCGTCATGCGTCGATCCTGACTAATCACCGATGATGCATACCCAAATGACATTTGTTAGTAAATTTAGATCTAAATGGAGATGTTGTGTGCTCTCTGTCTGTCAGGGAGTTGATCTTCTGGGTGGACAGGAAAGTTCCAGTCTGGGCCATTCAAGTGAGTTACAACATAATGAAGAAGATGATTCATTTCTAATGATTTAAAAAGAGAAGCTTTAATGTTTATTTTTCCCTGGCATATTTGAGTGATTGATATAAAGAGCAACTGAACCTCTGGCAGATGTGAAAACAGCTGGCTTCCTTCTCAGGAGATTGTTCTTAACATACCAAAACTGCTCTAACCAGTTTGCTTAAGAGCTGTGTTTCCGCTTTCCTGTTTGCACAGGTGATTGTGGCCATCATCAGTTTCCTGGAGACGATGCTATTGATGTATCTAAGCTATAAGGTAAGGTAAAAAGATAATAAAAACATGGACTCCACCCTCCCTCATCATCAACGCATTATGTACAATTAATCGCTTACAATGCTGGAGACTGACAGCTTGTAAGTGGTGTAATTAGCACCAGCCATTTGTCACATTGATGGTAATTACAGGACCTGGCTGAGGTGAAGGAGTAAGTGGTTTGGGAAGATGACAGACGACAATGAAATAAATGAATTTGTGATGTGACTCACCGGCTGCCGCATGCTTACAGATGCCGTGTGGCTGACAAAAGCCTCTGCTTCTTGTCACTCTCAGGGGAACATTTGGGAGCAGATGTTTCAAGTGTCTTTTCTTCTGGAGATGATCAACACCGTTCCCTTCATCATCACGGTAAAAGTTTCCCTCTGTAAGATTCACTGTGAGCTTCATGGAAACAAAACTTCCATTAATCTGAAATGAATTAAGCTCCATATTGTTCTTCTCATTGCTGATGTTCAAATGTAAGATAATAAGTTAAGTAATTATTTTCAGGTAGGGAATAATTAAACCGCAATGCACTTTTCTCCTCTTACTTTCTCCTCAGATCTTCTGGCCCTCAATTAGGAACATCTTCATTCCTGTGTTCCTAAACTGCTGGCTGGCTAAATGTGCTTTAGAGAACATGATTGTAAGTGGAAGCCGTAAACTTAATTGTATCTATAATGTTCCCGATCATCAGCTTAATGACTCTGCTTAGGTAAGATAATCATCATTACACTCCGCTATCACAGTTTGTCTTTAGGCCTTGATGCTCACAGACACTGACTCATCAATGCACCCCCCCCCCCCCCCCCCCCCCCCCCCCCCTCCCCCGGTTTGCTCCGATGGTTGCGCCTTAGAAACCTCACGCTGAGGAATCGTTTCTAGTTCTGCGCACACATGCTGTCTTGATGCTTGATATTTGATGTTGTAATTCTGCACAAGGCAGCCTCACAGTCATTTGCCAAAGAAGAGTGAGCCATTTTAGAGCGCAGGTTCTTGACTTTTCGGCGTCAGATATTGAGGTCTGTTTATCACGCCGCAGAACGATGTCCACAGAGCCATCCAGAGAACCAACTCGGCCATGTTCAACCAGGTTCTCATTCTCATCTGCACTCTGCTCTGCCTCGTTTTCACAGGGTGAGGCTGATTTTTCTAGGATTTTTACCTTTCTAAAAGGTTTATATCTACAGTACATGCTTTACATATACATGTATGTATGTAAATTATCTGTTATATATGTTTTTATCATATGATTTGTCCTACACAGCACATGTGGGATTCAGCACCTGGAGCGAGCCGGTAAAAACCTCACGCTCTTCAATTCCTTCTACTTCTGCATCGTCACCTTTTCCACGGTGGGCTTCGGAGACGTGACCCCCCGCATATGGCCCTCTCAGCTGCTGGTGGTCATCATGATCTGCGTTGCTCTGGTAGTGCTTCCTCTGCAGGTGGGGCGTCTTTTGTCCGGCTGTTACGGTCAACGTTTTGTGACTCCCAGGTTTAACCCCCGACCCCCTGTGTGTCAGTTCGAGGAGCTGATCTACCTGTGGATGGAGAGGCAAAAGTCCGGCGGGAACTACAGCCGCCACAGAGCTCAGACGGAGAAGCACGTGGTGCTGTGCGTCAGCTCGCTCAAAATAGACCTGCTCATGGATTTTCTCAACGAATTCTACGCACACCCCAGGCTGCAGGTGCGAAGCAAAACGCCACGTGTCCGTCTTCTTTGCGGCCATGCACGCTAGACAATAACCTGAATCTCATATGATATTCAAGGATTACTACGTGGTGATCCTGTGCCCAAGTGAAATGGACCTCCAGGTAAGGAGGGTGCTTCAGATTCCTCTGTGGTCTCAGAGGGTCATCTATCTGCAAGGGTCCGTCCTCAAAGACCAGGATCTGCTGAGAGCCAAGTAAGCTACACGTCCTCAAAGTGACTTAGATTAATAGTCAAAGGATAATCCAGCATGCATATATACTTAGGAGATCTAAACAATGTAGCCCAATGAGTCAGTTCCATTAAATTGACATTTAGGAACTGTACTTATTAAGCTAAATGCTTTAATTGGTGTCGTTAAAGGTAAAACAATGATTGGTTAGTCAACAGAAGCGATGCTAGCTGCTTGCATTTGGCTGTCCCATTCTCTCAGTAAGGTGTGTTTATTTAAAGAGTCCACATTAGTGTGGCAGAAACTAAACAAAAGATGTATGTAATTCAATGTTCAAAATAGACATTATCGCTAATCTGCAAGAACCTCCTCCAAAAAGAAAAGTATAGAGCTATTTGTTCTGCTGACTGATCCAGAACCAGCTGCTAATTTTTTTTAATCATTATCCTCTTGTTCCTCACCCACTCATTTTCTATACGGTGTTCACTTATAGATGACTCAAAAGTGGGTAGGGCAGGAGCCACGCTGATGCATTTTGGACTGGGCTGAGCTTTGTAATTATGCTGCGCTTACGCACCGACCAGTGTCGCACAAACACACTCCACTACGCGCACACACACACTGAATCTGAAGTAGCAGAAAGCTGTTTTTGGCTGCGAATGTGTCGCATGAGATATAACAAATAAAACAGATGCAGTCATTCAACAGCACTGTGCCTACCTACACAAGCTGTAATGATATAATGCTATTTATTATTATGCATCTAAATATATCTGACTTTAGGGCCACACACTCAGGTAGCACTGTATGTAAAATATGTTCTCGTTGCACTCCTTTTAGTTTACCTCATAATGGAAATGAAATATAACACTACGGCAACATGGTTTACCCATTAAAAGATAAATGGAATATTTAATATACACACAGATTTAGATCTGCATTAAGTTTAAACACAAATAGTTTCCGTTGAGACTTTTTTGAAGGCCAATCATTTGGTGAGTCATGTGCTAAACCAGTAAAACAAAAGAGGCTTTATAAAAAAATTAGACTCGAGGTTGATGTAGTGACAGGTGTGGCAGAGTGCTCCGCCTGCTAGGCTAGTTTCCTGTTTCTGGTTTTGTTTCCAAAGGTAACGTCTGAAACAGCCGCAGTTATCAGCAGCTTACTGAACGGCACGGTTTTAGACTTGAGTGGCTTCAACAAAGCGGCAGGGTCACGTTATGTCGGATGTTCTCCCAGGCCTGTCAGTAGACACCCAAATATATGTGCTACCCATTGTATCACTGATAAGAGCTATTGTATGGCCTCACACTCAAACCATAGAATTAATCATTCAAGTTATCCTGCTTTCTTTAGAGACTTAAGTGAAAATTTGACTTCTTCTCATTGTGGAAGGCCATAGGGATCTGTCTGACAATTCTGACTCATGAGGGTTTTATGAATGAGACCATAGGGAAATATTACCAGTGTCTCTAATTAAATGAATCAATCTTACTTTCAGACTTCACACTAAGCCAACTTTTACTCAGAAGCTTCAATGGCATCAGTGAATCAGTGGCCCTTCATCATTCAGCATCTTTTATTGAAATTGAACGCAATTTGACAAACGGAAAGGATTGTGTCAGAGTTAGAGCTCAGGCTAAGCAATAAAGCCACTGCTTCTTCAGATATCACCTCTCTGTGGCGGTACTTCAGACATCTGGCTGCGTTTCAAATCCTCCCACACTTGTTTTGAATGCTGCTCTCCTCTGGCCGTGCTAATCGAATGCAAAAAACAGTTTCACATTCGCAGTACATTTGATATACAGCACAGTTCAGGTTCTTTGGTTTCTGCTCTTGTGTAGGCAAATATGAGGACATCATTTTTCTGCTCTGTTCTGCCGACTCTGCAGTGGGAGGATTTATTTTCCCCTGTTGTTTCGGGTTCTGTCTGTGACGGTGTCTTGTTGTTTGTCCCACTCCTGCAGAATGGATGATGCAGAGGCTTGTTTCATCCTCAGCAGTCGAAACGAGGTGGATCGCATGGCTGCGGTACGGCGCCTGTCACTGAATTTAAAATCTGTTCTGTCTGTGAGAAGGAAAGTTGTACAGCGGTTCCAAAATGCACAATGTTCTACTGTTTCTTCTCAGGACCACCAGACAATTTTGAGAGCTTGGGCAGTGAAAGACTTTGCTCCAAACTGCCCGCTTTATGTCCAGATACTGAAGCCCGAAAACAAGTTCCATGTTAAATTTGCAGGTGAGACTTCAAATGTGGTCAAATTTGTCATGCTTTTTTAATGTTACCAGGTAAAATAAATGACAGAAACAACTATTAAAGCCCAAAACTTAACCAAATAGCTTTAAGAATCTCCCCGATTTACTGTCCAAACATGTGTAACCTGAGGAGCTTAGATATTCTCTGAGCATTCAGGAATAATTAAACTTGGTATTTGGTATTGTACCAAATAATATCTTTTTTTTCGGCATTACATGAACTTGAATGGGGAATCTCAGATTTTCTTTCCAACCTGAAGATGGCCATCATGCATGAATCCTTTATTTAAGTCCCCGTAAATACATGTGGACCTTCCAAGGGTGAAGAACCTGTGTTGCTTACAATATTTATCTGCCAAAGGGAATTAGAATTTAGTAAGTACAGAATAAAAACAAACCACATTTTGGAGCCTTATTTCTTTCACTTTATCGTGCATTTTGTTGGAGCAGGGAACTGTTTGTGAACACGCTTTCTTTATCAAGGTGATCTTTTGGTTGTGTTCCAGTGGTCCCAAGGTTTTCAGGGTAAATGCTGCTTGTCTGTAAAAACCCTCCGATGTTTACATGACTGAAAACATGGTCACTCAAGCAGGAAGTTAATGTCTCTCCGTTTATGTGGAGCAAAAAGCTGCAGCTTGTGTAGAAACGCCTCCCACACAAAAGTCAGCGTAACTTTTGTCACGCAGAACCTGTTGTTAACGAAGGACAGCAGGAGTTAAGTGGATTTGTTAACTTTGTTAGACAAGGTGCAGAGATGACTGACACCCTGCGTTTACCTTGAAGCCTAAACCTATAATCATATATAATTCATATATCATACAAACTAACAAATACTGAAGATTCACAAGATACTCAGAGCAAAGCCCCAGAAAACATAATTCCGAACTTCACAGCTCTTTGTCGAAATAAGTAAAACTGAGCGGCTCTATTTGTTGTTCAGACAGGTCAAACGCAAGTCTAAAGCTTTGTTCTGACTTTTATCTTTATAGAATTGAACCGCACATGTAGATTTAACACACAATTTAATATAATGCTGCCTGTTATAAAACCCATAAAAATATCCTAATATTCCCGCGCACAATTAGTTTTTTTTATTGCTGTTGTCATAATTTCCCATTTGAGCAGTGATGGGCGTAGGCAACATCCATGGGGACGAAAACAGGGAAGCGGAATCTTCTTACCATCACAGATCACTTTATAACCACGTTAATGACTGAGTGGAAAGGCTTCAGTTTGCTTTAGTGATGTCTGGTTTCCCATCATACGTTGGTTGGCAGGCAACAACTTATTCTGTTATGTTGCAGTGATCTCTTCTGAGGTATTCTCTAGGAGACTCAGCCTTTTTGTCATCACAGTTGTCCGGAAATGACACAACTTTGAATCGGTTGATATTTTGGTGTTATTACACAGGGATAACACAGGCACTTCTATCACATATATTGAGAGTTTTACGTCTTCTTCCTTTTCAGATCATGTTGTGTGTGAGGAGGAGTTCAAGTATGCCATGCTGGCTCTCAACTGCGTGTGCCCGGCCACTTCCACCCTGGTCACGCTCCTCGTGCACACCTCCCGTGGACGGTCAGTCTTCTTATGGATCCCCCTCAGGCGATTTGATTTTTCCTCAGTGTGACAGAGAATAAACCCTCCAATTCGTTCGCATGAGGATGTCCAGAATTCATAGAAAAGTACTGACAAAAGTCTTACGTTTAGCAAGGATCAGCAGGATGTATAAAGAGCGCATAAAAGGGGAGAATAAGCAGCAGGTAAAAGATTTTTTTTTCCCCCTCCATCTTCTTTCTTCTCTAAAACTGTTTGAAAGGCTCTGTGGTGGAAAATGATTTTTTCCCAGCGTGTTAACACATCATTTTTAAAAACTGAAGTCAACGTCTGAGGGAACTGCTGTGCGGAAGAATCAATAGTCTTTACCTCTTACTGTGCTCTTGACAGCTCTTCAGAAAAAAAAAAAAAGTGAGGCTCCATTTAGAAATGGCTCCCATTTTTCACAAAGACGTACTGTACATGGAAATGTCACGCCGTCTATGTGTCTGTCCACTCGTACTGTATATGCAGTCTGTGAGCGTGTGGGTGTGTTTGAGTGCCTATGAGAGCCTTTCAGACACAGATGGACCTCCCTGTCTGCGTCCACCAGGAGACCCCGCGTGGCCCTGAGGGGTCTCAGAGGATGCGGGAATTCAGAGGGAGGAATTTCTATTTGCGAGCGATGATAATGAACAGATTTAAAAGGGCGACAAAAGCAGAGTTTCTCTGTTCAGTATGCGGGAATGGCCATCAGCATATAGATTACCTTTAAATTGTATGCGAATGACTAAATATGTGTGTGTGTGTGTGTGTGTGTGTTTTCTCTGAACGAATGCAGAGAGGGGCAGCAGTCTCCGGAGCAGTGGCAGAGGATGTATGGATGTTGCTCTGGCAACGAGGTCTACCACATCCGACTGTGTGACAGCAAGTTCTTTGGAGAGTATAATGGCAAAAGCTTTACGTACGCCTCCTTTCACGCTCACAAGAAGTGAGTTGACATGTAAGCTGAAGCATCTTCCTCAGATGCTCACCAGTTGACTAAAGGCTGAACCACTCTCATAGATTTTTAACAGTTTTGCAATAGTTTATTCATCATTAAGAGTGACTTTAGTCTTCACTGTATTCATTAAAGGTGCTCAGGATTTAGTCTCATTTGCTCCAATAACTGTAAAAGCAAAACATTTCTTTCTTTTTTTCCTGCATGAATAAACAACAGCTCACTTGTGAAGGGACTGTGAGATGCCCTTTTTTTAATAAACAGGGATTTTATTTTCTAGGTTCTGTGTGAATCACTGATACTTCAGATATGACGCAAACATGAACATTTATTTTGGTTTAAAAATAAATGTAAATGAAACCATTCATATGACCAATATGTCAAGCCTTCCAATCTAAAACCTGCAGTTTAAAAATGCTTTGTGCTGGAATCTTTGGTCTGTTTGCTCAGACAAATCAATCTTTTCCACACATTTTGCATATTTCCCTGCAGTTTTAGCCACAATATTAAAAGCATCTGCCTAGTACTGGTCAGGACACCTCCATACTATCAAAACACCTTTTACAAGTCAAATCACTGACTCTAAAAAAACTCTGTTGGAAGTTTCTAGTCCTGGAACTTGCAATATCGAAGCTCCATGGTCTAGACTGGAATTAGATTGAGATATGAAGACTAAGCATCTGAAACTGTTGAATGAATCATCTTTCTAACAGGAAAGTAAGGCGTGTTTGCCCATTTGAGATAATGTGAGTTCTGCAGCAATGTTTACGTAGGAGGCAGATTGATGCCAAAGGTCTCAAACTTCCTCATTGCTCTCATTTTAGATTCTTTTGCTTTACCATTTTCCCCTAAAACATCATCTTCAACAGCCGACTGTTTGTTTTCTGCATATTTTCCCAGTCCTTCGCCTCAAATGCCAGTGGCGGTTTCATGCTAAACACTAACGCGCTATCTCCAGGTACGGCGTTTGTCTTATCGGCATAAAGAGGGACGACAACAAAAGCATCCTGCTGAACCCCGGCCCCCGCCACATAATGGCCGCCACAGACACCTGCTACTACATCAACATCACCAAGGAGGAGAACTCGGCTTTTATCTTCAACCAGGAGGAGAGGAAGGGCCGTCCGGCGGGGGGCATTTTCAACGGGCCGTCGCAGCTTCCTGTGCACAGCATCCTCGCTAGCATGGGTGAAAAGATTAAACTTATCATGCCAAACAAATATTCCCCATTAATTCATTAACTGGTGTGAGTTAGGCCCCAAATCTGTGACCGAGTCTGGCTGAATGTGTCTACAGGTACTGTAGCCATAGATCTCCAGAACACAAGCCCACCGGACATCTCGGGTGGTAAACTGGTCCCACCGACAGTAAACGGAACAGGCATTCGCCGACCAAGCATTGCTCCAGTTCAAGAAATAGCTGACTCCACATCCATCCTGCCATGTGACCTCTTAAGTGATCAATCAGAAGACGACTCTGTCTTTATGGATGAAAAGGGCCACTCGTCCACCGAGTAAGGATTACATTTTAATTTGATATCCCAGCTTCAATCCTTCTTAGAAGGAGATCAGTACAAAAAGGAGTGGTATAACAATCGGCAACGAGTAGGAACAGTACTGGAAAGTTTGAGACCTTATATTTCTTAGAAAGACAAGATTCAACATTGGGAAAGCTACAAACAAAATGGCCAACTCAGTTAAAGTCCATAACTTTGTGATTTGGAAGGCCCAAACTTTGGCTGTGAAATAATACCATTTTAATTCAATTTAGTCAGACTTCTATTTATTATCCGGTTGCTTTGTCGTTTTTCTTGTTCAGAAGTTCATGTAACCAAAATGAACACTACATCTGTTAGAACAGAAGTCCAGCTATGACTGGCTTTGTTCCCATTATCATGTGGCCTTCATCAATAGTAGATTAAATAGCCTTTTTTTTCTTAGTAAGCATTAAAAAAAATATTTTCTCTTACCATTCAACCAGATGGGGCAAATATAACCGAGAATTAAAACAAAAAGCAAATGCAATAACATTTAAACAAATCTGTCATTCATGCTTTCTGGATTTGTTTTCAGGTATGTGAAAGGTTACCCTCCCAACTCTCCGTACATTGGGAGCTCGCCCACCCTGTGCCATCTGTTGGCTGAAAAAGCACCGTTTTGCTGCCTACGACTGGACAAGGTGGGCAGTCGCTGCTTCTTCAACTTAGTCACTCAATTAGATGTGCTGGCTCGGCCGTTCCATCTCTTTTCCGTGTGTCCTTCAGTTCATAAAAGCATACCTAAAATACTTCTGCGTGCTTCGCCTCTCTTGCAGGGCTGCAGGCATAACAGCTTTGAAGATGCGAAGGCTTACGGCTTTAAAAACAAGCTCATCATTGTGTCCGCCGAGACGGCCGGAAACGGCCTCTACAACTTCATTGTGCCTCTCAGAGCGTATTACAGACCCAGAAAAGAGCTCAACCCCATTGTCCTGCTGCTGGACAACCCGTGAGTTCGCTTTGACACGCGCGCCTGTGAACACACGTCGCTCCGCTCTTTTCCCTCTCGGTCTCTCTTTCGCCACGTCATGCTGGGCCACAGTATTTAAGTTAAAAGCCTACGTCAGTCGAGCACTTAGGACAAGGCTGTGGAGGCGGGACTCCATTGTTAGGCCTGATGTTAGATTGCCACTATTGCTCACAGTTACTGTGTTTTAGTGACAAAGAAAAAATAAAATCTCTGCTCTCTCTACCTCCAGACAGTCACCATGGTAACTTTCTTTGCCTTGAACTTCAATGACATATACTGCTACGAGGGGAGAAATAGATTTCTTTGCGAGCTTTCATCGACAGCCCTGATGTGTCCCTTTTCAACCCCCCCTACATCTTAGCTCTCAGGACTCTCATGGAAACGCACTAATAAGCGCTCGCAACACGCAGCTCTCTGTCTTTGCTTCCTATCGCTGTCGCACACACAAACGCAAACACCCACGCATGTGGATACGCCATTCAAGCACTTATGACAGCCTTGGGTCTGTAGTCAGCAGGACTGGGCAGATGCAGAAAGAACTGCGCTGTCAGGAGCGGTGCAGGAGAACGGGCAGCAATAAAGCCACCGAATTTCTGAGTGTGTTCAGCGCCAGATGGACTCATCCCTCAGACTAAAGACGTTTTTCCCAGGGAGATAAAACTACCACAGAGGCTCCCGAGGGGCTCAGTGTTGCACATCAGAACTACACTTATCCGTTGAGGAGCTAGAGTGTTTTTTTTGTCAAAGTGAGGCTAAATGTTTATACTGGTTGGACTAGAATTAAGGATATAGTAATAGATTTGTCATGTCATACTCAGACACTGGCATATATTTGGCTTTTGGATAGACAACAGTCAGAGAGATGATGGTGTTCTTGTTTAAAGGGGGTGTGATAAGTAAAAATAAATCGCCAGAGTCATTTTTTAAATACGTCACTAATGTAGCTCTTACCAGAAAGACAGCAAAACATATCCAGAGGACGGCCTTTGTGTCAGTTCCAAATCTCTCACACATAAGTGACTTAATGGTTGTGCAGAGCTTTTTTGTTAATGGGGGTATATTTGTTTAAAAGAACAATAGGAACCACAAAAGTGCTAACACATATCCTACTGCAGGCCAGATAATCACTTCCTGGAGGCCATTTGCTGTTTCCCAATGGTGTACTACATGGCGGGGACCATAGACAAGTAAGACTGTCAGATAATCTTCAGCTTTTACAATTTTTACATGTATTTTCTCACTGAAACATACCAAAATGGAGTTTGCACCTTATGAGGTTTGATTAGACTTTTGTGTGTCAATGCATGCGTTTCAGTCTGGACAACCTCCTCCAGTGTGGGATTATCTACGCGGATAACCTAGTTGTCGTGGACAAAGAGAGCACAATGAGTGCTGAGGAGGACTACATGGCAGATGCCAAAACCATTGTCAATGTACAAACAATGTTCAGGTAAGCAGTTGGTTTTTGACAGCAGGCGCTATTTCACCTGCAATTTCGAGGTTGTGATGTTGCGTCCCATAAACTGGATTTTCCCCCATGGCACGCAGATTGTTTCCCAGCCTCAGCATCATCACAGAGCTTACACATCCATCCAACATGAGGTTCATGCAGTTCAGAGCGAAGGACTGCTATTCGCTAGCTCTCTCCAAGCTGGAAAAGGTTAGGGGAAATCTTAAAGCTTAGAATGATTTTTTTTTTGTTTTGTTTTTAGGAAAAAGCCATTATGATTTGACTTTTACACAGTCGGTCGTTGAGTGACGGACTCTTTGTTGTTGCTTTGTCGAACTCCACAGAAAGAGCGCGATAAAGGCTCCAACCTGGCCTTCATGTTCCGCCTACCCTTTGCTGCAGGCAGAGTGTTCAGTATCAGCATGCTGGATACCCTCCTCTATCAGGTTGGTACACCCTGGATGAAAGATTGCACTTCATAGAAGCAGAGACAGAGATGCCTCTGAAGAAAGAGCACCACTGCCCTCTCGTGTTCAGTTACAGAAACCCTTATTCAATTAGTGGCTCTATAAAATGCCACTTATTAAGTTACTCTGTGTGATTCTGCCTCAGTCTTTTGTGAAGGACTACATGATTCTCATCGCGAGGCTGCTGCTGGGGTTGGACACCACGCCCGGGTCCGGATATCTCTGTGCTGTGAGTCTGATGGTAGACAAGAATCCTTGAAAGCGTTAACTTCATCAGCTCCACATTTGAGTTAAACAACCTGCTTTAAAGCGCGCCTCTCGAACCTTCCCCATAGATGAAAGTGACGGAGGAAGATCTGTGGATCAGCACTTACGGACGACTGTTCCAGAAGCTCTGCTCCTCTAGCGCCGAAATTCCTATCGGCATCTATCGCACAGAGGCCCACATTTTCCCCACTTCTGAAGTAAGATCGAGAAGAGAAATGTTCCAAAGTAGTGTAAGATTACATACACTGATTCTTTCAATCTGGAATTTCATTCCTGTGAATAAGCACTCAAAAAATCATACGTTTGTGTCTTAAATCTCAGTCTCAGGTGTCTGTGAGCGTGGATGACTGCGAGGACACAAAGGACAGGGCAGATGAACAGCCGGATCAGCCGCAGCTGAGGAAGAAGAGCATGCAATGGGCGCGGCGCCTCAGTAGGAAAAGCGTGAGGTGGCAGGGCGTCAGCCGGGAGTCCAGCAAAGACCAGTCCATGCGCATGGCTCAGCAGTGCCTCAACCTTTACAGGCGGTCAGAGAGGGAGGAGCTGTCCGAGCTGGTCCGAAACCGCATGAGGCACCTGGGACTTTCCACTTCCGGATACGGTAAGAACGGACCTTAATGTGCACGTGCGTGCTTTTGAGAGGGTCTTGAGAATTTCTTGTCTGACCGCAGATGACCTGACAAATCTGACGGCCAGCGACGTCATGAACAGAGTCAATCTGGGCTACCTGCAGGGTAAGGGTTGGTTCGTCAGGTATAACCCGATGGTGAAATCCTCATTCTGATGATTGCACTGGTGTTTTCGGTTTCAGATGAGCAGAATGATCACCAGAACACTCTTTCCTACGTCCTCATTAACCCTTCGCCCGACACCCGGCTGGAAGTCAACGACATTGTGTGAGTATTTCAGTTGAAAAACATGAGTAGTACTTTTTTTTTTCTGGCACAATTGGAAGATAATGCATTAACCCCCCAGTTCAATTAAAGGACTAAAAATAGCAGGTATTTGCTTTTCTGTAAAAACAGCCCACTCTCTGCAGACCCCCAGGTTTTCAGGCAGGCTTCTCTGCATTAAGCTGCATTAAGAAAAATAATGCTCACTGGGTGGAGAGGTTTACTTCTTACTTTGGGTTTGATTAAAAGGCCTTTTACATAAGACCTGCGGGTTCTGAAGAGGTTTGGAAGATAAAAGCCAATCCGATAAACAAGGCAGACAAATATGATTAAGAGAAATCATAATTTTAGAAATCAATTTAAGAACCTTGAAAATGGGCCGATGGCTAATGGATGATTTTTTTTTCTTTCACTATCTCTGATATCTCATGAAACCAGATATAAGAAAGATCGGTTTCCTCCGGCTCCTCTGGTCTCTTTGTAAATTATAAATGGCTACTTGAAAACCACTGCTAAAAGCCAGAAGCATCTTTAATTGGTGGCACTCACTGCTGACGGCACAGAACAGGTTCCTCTGTTGGGAGGAACTTTGGAAGCTGAGTTAAAGCAGAGCAGAGAGGGAGGGGGGCTCTAAGCTGAACTTGGTTACATTTTCAAGCTTTAAGGGTCAAATAATTGTCATTACATGTTCTTAGCTTCTACAGGAGCAGAATATGAACATTTTTTGTTAGACGATGCATTAGGCCTAAATGGATTTATTTGAATTTCATCATTTTTTCAGAATCATTAATGGCTGAAAGTACCATGAGTGCCAATGTGGAATCATCCCTTCCTGTCATCTCTGTAAAGCTTTTAAGACTCTGTTTTTTTTTTTTTTTAACTTTTTGATCTCTATAAAGTATTAATTAAATTATAGTTACTGATTTTAAATTTTTTGGGCATTCAGCAAAAGAAGAGCAAAATAATTAAACGTCTGTCTGATCCGAACATACCTGTGTCTTTTTTCAGATACCTGATTCGCCCCGACCCCCTGGCTCACGTCCCGGAGGAGCCTCCCGTCCGCAGCAGCAGCCTGAAGGAGAGACGGGAGTCCAGCATAGACGCCAGAGAGGACACCCCGCTCTGATGCAAGAAGGGACATCCCTGATGCACTTCTCCTCAATCGACGCCTCTTAACACAGGCGCTGGCCGCGTCCAATCAGGTTCAGTCTGGAAAAGGACAATCTGGACTAGCGAGTTTCAGTACAGCACTCTGCAATCATGTATAATCAGAGTGCCTACTGCTCGTCTGGTGGCGTCCGAGGTCATCTTTGGTCATCTTGAACTGTACATAGAGTATTGGAATAATATATATTTTAGCTCTTTCTTTTGAGCTGTCAGGGAAAAGCTTGTTGACAATTGAAACTGCCTGCTGAACGAATATCAGTCATTCCTCACGCAGGGTTAATCTCATCTGCCCAATAAAGCACTCACAATCTCTTAAATCATTTTATGAATGTGTTTTCATGAAAACCTGCTGAGATCCAATTATCAATCAAGAGCACATCCACATTTTTGGTTGGCACACTTGCCTGATTTCTACCAGTCTTAATCTCAAAACACAAGTTTGAACACAAAGTGGCTTAAATGAAGCATGCATTAAACTTTAACAACATCCATTTTTGTAGCTATACCATAGAAGTAGTTTCCCAGTGGCGTTATGTGCAAACATTGGTGGTTATTTATATGTTTGCTGTGTTTCATTCATTTAGTTTTAGCACAAATTGTTCATTTCATCGGACAGGCTGTCCTAAATATTCAGTATTGTACTATAAAGAGAGTGTTAGTTTACTCTCAGAGCTGCTCAGTGAAAACTTTGCTTATTTGTTTACTAACTACTATTAATAGTGGTTGTTTGAGTGGTCTGTATATAATTAAATGTTGACTATATATTTGTACTATATGTGCAAATGAATGTGCTATTAAAACTATTAAATCATTGTGTAGCTGTGGAATAATTTTGCTCTTACAGCTACTTCTCTCCCCTTTCTGACACCAGAGCGAAAGCTCACCTTAGAACCGTGTGGTGCCTGAAACAACCTCCTCAGTCAAACATAAATGCAAAAAACACCTAAAACAAACATTATTTACCATAAAGAGTAAAAATTGGTCTTTTTGGTGCATCAATGGTAACAGACTTAAGTACTACAGAGTTATTATTCTTTTCATATCTAAAAATATATTTCATTGTTATTTTCTAATGTACTGCATAAATAAACCTGTTTTGTGTTGCTTGCTTTTGTCTCGTCAGTAATTTAGAGAATAAACTCAGACTTTACCTCCAAAGCATCCAGTGAAGACTGAGAACAGCTGAATGATTAAGAGTGACCAGAGTGGGGGGGTTGGGGATGGGGGTGGGGGTGGGGGTATAAGAAAATCAGATCATCAAAGAAAAAAGATATCCACCAAAAAACAGTCTCAAACTTTAGCAAGAAAAGATACCTAGTTGCATTTTATTATCTCTTAGAATAAATAAACAGAAAATATAATAGTGAAATAAAACATAACATCTCTGTAACAGAATAAACCTCAAAATAGTGCCTGCTTTTTCTTTTTAGTAAACATAACTTGTACATTACGTACAAAAAATACTACTCAAAATGTACAAAATGCAGCAAACAAATATCAAGTATTGTGCAGTTTCCCAAAAGATTATAGAAGCCACTGAGGATCAGTGGTCGCCAGGAAATGACCAGCGGTGAGCCGTGGAGGCTCCGATAAAAGAGCTCACCAGAATCCAGTGAGATCTAAGAGCAGGAGCCTGCTCTGTGGCGTGGCTCCGATGTTACAGTTCAGCAGAATGAGCCTGTTGGGGATCTCAGATGAGTGGCAAGTTAATACTACGGTAATCCAAAAACAGTACAGTAAGTACAGTCTCCTTTACAGTAAAAACATCCTTTGTCTTCCACTGTGACAGCAGCAAAGAACTCCAAAATGAAATGTCGTAATGACAAATAAATACATAAATAAAACACAGTCGCGTGACAGAGGTTTTAAAGCATGATAGAGAAAGTAAACACAATCAGGCCCGTATGCTTCAGCTGTGCTTTCAGCTCTTCTTCCAAAAAGAAACACGCATCCTGAGACACACTCAATAGAAAACAGGACTGGACTTTACAACATATCATCATCCGTTCCATTCATACCTTTTTAAAAAAAAAAGCCCCTCCTCACGAAAGCGCGCGCCAGCAGCAGAAAGTCTTTGAATGCGCAGCCTGGTCCGAGTCACAGGGGGGAAGGTTTGATTTAGCCAAGCCGGAGAGGGACAACTTTTCATCACTGCCTGCCCCGAGATGCACTCGGTCTCAGTAGTTTGTCTCCCTGTAAGTGGACTCAGCAGTAACTGACCCTCTCCGCTGCTACACAATGAGAGACGCACCTACAGGAGGAAGTATGACACGCACAATAAAAAGCTGAGAGAATTAGAGGCCAGAGAGCAGGGAGCTCCCACTGGTGCCGCCGCAGACTTTTGGGTCCTGCCCAACAGTCGCCGACGAAACAGAGACTCTCACAAAGTCCCTGCCTCACTTCCTCCGAGCGCTCCCGGGTCTCTTGACCTGCCAGAGGTGGTTGTGGATGGTCAGCGCGTCCACGCTGACGGATACGGACTTGGCGGGAATGACGTTGAACTGCTTGCGGTCCGAGCTGTACTTGTAGAGCTTGTCGATCATCTTGCGGCCGATGACGCGGGGGCCCGTGCCGGAGAACTTCACGATCTCCTCGGTGTCTGGCGAGAACGAGTAAATGGCGCGGAACTGGCACCCGCCGTCCCGGAAGAGGATGATCAGGTGGTTGGACTCACATTTTTCCAACTCCTGTCAAACAGAGGCAAGGATAAGATCTGATACTCGAGCTTTATAATGATAGGAAATAGATGAGAAAAACCCCGTCTGACCTCGAGAACAATATTCTTCTGGGTTTCATTGACCTTTCCAGCCAGGCAGCAGTGGGCGATGGCATTGATGATGATTGGTTTGTTGGATTTGGAACTTGGCTCCTTGAAGAGTTTCGGTCCTTTAAACAAACAGAATTTGTCTTTCATTTATTCATTTTGGCACAATTTAAGTGAGATTAATAGATACCACTGTATGTCTACAGGGTGAAAGTAGAAACATAAACACGTTTAGCCTGGAAGCGGGGCTTCTCACAGTATTAGAAAACAGATTTAAATAAAGATCCTTTATAAAATAAAAACATTTTTAGCCTGTGTTAATCCCATCACCACCTGATTAGAGCTGTCTATCAACGCTGCCGCCCACAGGATGCAAACATTCACAGAACAGCGTCATTATATCTATTATTCAGAAACGATTTACGGCGTTCCGCTCACCGTTGTACTCAGCGATGGAAGAGGCTATGGAGCCGTTCTCCCAGTCCCGCTCCGTGTTCCTGCTGGACGCCCTGCTCATCATGGGGAACGACTCCACGGAGCACACAGACGCAGCCCTGGAGGACACTTTAATGAGTCAGTCCGATAACTCGAAGAAGCCTCTGCTTGTCTCTGCCTCTCAGATCTGACCACTCACCTGTTCGACTCGGCCCCACCAGAAATGACGCTGTCCGCCTCGGTCGCCAAGGACAGAGTGGATCCCCGATGGCTGAAGCTCAACTCCGCTGAGAAAAAACACAGTACGATTGGCACCAAACACACTGGCTGCCGTTCAGTTATTCCAACCTAATGGCTCACATTAAGTTACACTGAATACCCCCAGTCACTGCTCATCTGGCTTTGCATATTTAACACAAACGATATGAGAAATGAACACAGGACAAACCGCTGCTAAACAAAAACAGCTACTTAATCCTGGGGTGGCTTCTGAGCAGTCTGTTTAAACTAATAATTTTAGCCCTGTTACATCATGCAGAGGTTAGGTGGTTCACCTCCCCTGCAGCCGGCTGCTGAGCTCTGGGCTTTGATTAACATGGACACCTTCAGAGAATTACCTGCACAACACACATGCGCACACTTAAGAGGACAGCAAACACAAGGCACACAGGCAAAGACAGAAGACAGACAGGAGCCAAAGGCTGCTCAGGCTCCGCGGGTGCGCCTACGTGTGGTGGATCCTTTGGAGAGGCTGCTGTAGTCCTCGCGGTGCAGGGATTTGGGCCGGGTCTTGCGGGGTTTGGTTCTGGTGCGAGGCTTCACCAGACCCTGCTCCTCCAGCAGGGCCTGCTGCTTCCTCCGCATGTACTCCTGCTTGATGAGCTCTCGCCGCGCCTTCTCCTCCTCCTTCCGAACGCGATCCTCCTCGGCCTTCCGCCTTTGGGAGAAACAGTGAGCGTCAACACTTGCTCTTCCATTCGCCTGAACCTAAACCTCCAGGGGCACGCCCCCGGCTGTAAGCTGGGTGAATGCACACCGGGCCTCTTCGCGTTTGAGCTCGCTCTCCGCCTCCTGCTGCAGCTTGCGTAGCCTCGTCTCCTCGGCTTTGCGCTGCTGTTTCAGGATGAAGGCCGCGCGCCGTTTCGCCATCTCGTCCTCGGCCTTCTCGTCGTCCTGGAAGGCAAACGATAACGGAGATGCGTCAGGCTGCTTACGACAGAAAAAGACCATGACGGCGCAGGCGTTCCTTACCTTAAAGAAGAAACCCAACGCGTTCTTCTGCTCGCCCTCCGCTGTGCAGATCGTTATGTCCGCCCCATCCTCCTGTAAAGGATCCTTCACCTCTGACAAGTCCACCTCAATCAGCTGGCCCCTGGACCTGGCACTCTCCGCGCTGCCGCCCTTTTCCTCCCCCTCCTCTGCAGATTCTGCAGGTGTTTCAAAGATAACCTGCGGGTCCTGTGATTGGAATTTGCCTAAAACCTGCCCGCTTGCCTCTCCTGCACACTCGCGAACTCTGAAAGTGGCCTTTCTCTGAATGCCTCTCTCGGTTTTGGGGCTCCCCGTCTCCTGTCCTTCATCGGTACCTTCCCTTGGAGGAGGCGTGATATCTGCTGACGGGACGGCTGATTTGACAGGAGCCGCCTTGCCGCTCTCTCTTTTCTGCTTCCGCTCCGAGGCTTTGCTGCGCTGGCTGGAGCTGAGTCTGGGAGGGCCGCGGGTCGGGACGGAGCCGCTGCCACTGATGTCCACAAAGTGAACCGCGAAGGACTTAGAGTCTGAAGTAACGGGCGGGGCTTGTGTTGGGCTGGGAGGGGTGCTGGGAGGGTTGCTGGGAGGGGTGCTGGGAGGGTTGCTGGGAGGGTTGCTGGGAGGGTTGCTGGGCCCCGTCTGGGGCCCCGTTTGAGCGGGTTCTGGAGGCGAGACCACGTTCTGCTTCATTAGCAGGTCCTGCTGTAAGGAGAGCTGCATCATCTGCTGCTGGATGGAGCTAATGGCTTCGTTGAGCATGTCTATGGAGCGGGAGCAGCCGCCTAAATCGGGTTCAGAGCTCTCATCCTGGGACAGGGTGCTCCACTTGTTCTGTCTGTTGAGCTGCTTTTGGCCTTTCAGAGCGTCCAGACACGAGTCATCCAGGCAGGACTTGGTCTTTGCTTTTTTCCTGTCAGATGCGGGATGTCCGGGGGATTCCAGGGAAGGCTTCAGGGGTAAAGGAAGAGTGTCGCTCCTCCCTCCTCCCTTCTTAACAATATTCAAGAAGGCCGCTTTCCCGAGCTTTAGCCTATGCCTGGCCGACAGGGTCTCCATCTTCTTCTTCTGGTACTCGATCGCGCGGCGTTGCTCCTCCAGCCGCATGTGAAGCTGGAGCAGCTCTGCAGGCACGACTGAAGGACTGACCATGGCGTTTTTCCCCAGAACGGCATTGGGCTCTTTCCCTAGCCAGGGAGGAGCATTCTCAGAGCCCTCTGGCGTGGTCTTCTGGGAGCTGCTGGTGCTCGAGTATCCGTCGCGGAGGCTAAGTTTGAGGAGCTTTTTCTCGGCGAAGCTGGTCATCTTCACATTCGTGCCTCCTGAGGCACTGCAGCTGCTCGCCCAGGATGCCGTGCTGGGGCAAGGGCTCGAGCGTCCACTGACGTCCTCCTTATCCTCCCTCTCGCTCACCTTCGAGTCCTCTCTGAGTTTTGCCGATTCGCCCTCTTCCCCGAATTCAGCTATGTCTCCCTCCTCCAAAAATCTCCCCCTCCCTGTCTTAACTTCTTTTGTCAGGTCCAGCGGATCCTCCTCCTCCTCCTCCTCCTCCTCCCCATCTTCCAGGTCGGCGATGTCAGAGTCAGAGTCGTGGCATCCCTCCGGTGTCGCGGAGAACGGACCGTTCAGGTCCAGGTCTTCGGACATATGAAGGAAAAAGCCCGGGGACTGAGAGATGCGTGTGGAGGCCTCTGCGAGTGGCCGGAGAGAGCCGGGGAATGATTCTACCCCGGGCGTCGGCGAATGGGGGCTCGTCTTCGACTCGGTGGAAGGGGATTTCCTCTGAGAGGCGCCCGGGATGTCGGCGGCTGCTTTCTTGACGGCTCCTGCCCTACAGCGGCTCTCGCCGCTCTCCTCCTGCTTGTTCAGACTGATGCTCTTCTCTTTGGCCGGCTTGGGAACGGCGGGCATCAGCGGCTCCAGATAGTAGCAGTCCGCCTGCCGGTCCCGACCGGGCGCCGCCCCGTCGTGATTGGGAGAACCGGACGACGTGGAGGAGGCCGACTTCTGCACCTCCAGCTCGTCCTGCTCCATGTCGCTGTCAATCCGAGGTCGGGAAAACGCGGAAGGGTGGATGACGGCGACCAGTTCCTCCTCCTCTCTTTCTTCCTCCTCATCCTCGATGCGCATGTGACTGAGCAAGCTTTGGCCGCTGAGCCTGTGCTGAGGCAGACCCGAACCCAGCATGTGTTTGGGCGTAGTGCTCAGGATGTTAGAGGCTAGGCTGTCTTTGCTGATGGAGCGAGCCAGGCTGATGCTGTCCAAATCGTCCTCTGTGGGAAAGTGCAGGGCGTAGGGCGCCGGCTGGGATAAAGGCCTAGATGGGAAAGATGGAGCAATGCCAGTTACAGGAGGAAGCTGTGCAACTACGATTCTGTAAGAACAGAAGACGCTAAAAAAAACGGGCTCACCTTGCCTTCCTCTCTGGCCTCGCCAAGACAGTGCCCTGATGTTGCACATCTGTTCGTGTCACAGTGTTTGACCTATTTCTCAAAGCTGTGCCAAGAAAATATAAATCAACAATGTGGAAAATCTATTTTCTTTACAGAAACAACTGATCCAGCTGACTGACTGCATAACTACTTCATGGCTCACAATTTCAAATATTAAAATGTTCTTTTTAGAAAATGTTCCCAAAGCTTTCAGTCTGTCCTGAGCAGAACCACCTCTTAAACCCTCCCCGTCCACAGCTATCTTAGAGATGTGCATCCTTACAACTATTTTTACTTCAGACTTCAGATTTATTTATTACCTGAAGCGCCCTCCTCAGAAACCTTCTGTTGTCTCTGCCTCAGGGGGAGTAAAGAGTGAGATGTGCTTAATGATGTTGGTTTAGTGCTGTAAAAATAAAAAGACCGGGGCTTAGTTAAATTCCTCTATAAAAACATCTCAATTCAATATCAGTTTACAGGTGCCTATGAGCTTAAGTAGAGATACAGAATTGAATTTTTTTAATTGAGTCGTACTGTTTTATCATCAGTGAAGTGCTTTGGATTTAAAAAAAGAAAAGACTGAACGCAGACATGAAAATGGTCAAAAAGGAAAAAAAGGAGAAAAGAGTGATTAAAAAAGTACTCATAACTAATTCTGAAAATAAACGTATGGTACCTCATTTCAGGGCTGGGAGATGCCGTCAAGACGTCGGCTGAGTTTGATGAAGGCATGAAACTTTTTTTGGTGACGTTGGAGATGGGTATGTTAGAGCGAGAACTTTTGGGCCGCAGCAGCAGTCTCACTATAGAAACAGCACATTACACAAAGAAAAGGAAGAAAATATTTTTAAAAATCTTATTTTAGTAAATGACTAAAATCTTTTTTCTATCTATACTAAAAGTCCCCAAAAGGTGTCACGGCAGAGAGTACCATCTTTGATTTCCTGAAGGTCTCTTGGCTGCACAAAGTCCGGCTTCACATTCTCAAACCACCAGAAAAGCTCAGCAATGAAAACAATGACGTTATTCTGCGAGGCAAATAAAACAAGGTCAGGTCCAACAGAGATGCAATGAACAGTTACAGGACAGAGGCCCTTTTACCTCGTTTTCATTCGTCTACAAGCTCACCTTTAATACTGGTGGAGCGTACAGCAGGTCCTCCGGCTTCAGGTAGAAGCATTTGTTCAGGTACTCATTAGAAAACTCTTTTAGTAGCTGGATGTTGTAAATGCTGTCTGTTATGGAGGGGACCTCCTTCAGGCAGATATCTAAAAGCAGGAAAATACTGCTTAGGATTGTTATGACATAATGATTCAATGGTAGATCTCAACCAGTTTACACAACTCTTTCATTTTTTTCAAGAATGCTCTAATTTGCTTAACCTATAGTGAGATACTTGAACCCAAGAACAAAGACTTAAAGAAGGCTAACTCGGCACACTGAGTGGGCTCTCTGCCCCATGTCACCACACCTTCCAGCCTGATGACCTCGGGGCAATAGAAGTGGATCACAGCGAGCAGGGCGGCGCCGTCACACACATCCTTCAACAGGTCTTCCAACACCGGGAAGTACTGGAGCGTTCGACCAGTCAGGTGATCTCTGCGGTAGCGGACCTACACAGAAAGAAGGGCCAAAGGTTAAACATGAAATTATATGATCAAAGGCAAAGTCTTAAGCACAACATTTGTCATCTCAATCATTCCCAGCCCCTCTCTGACACACAAACCTGACAGCTTATGTATCCAAGTTGGTTCTAGTGCTTCACATTCTATTTCTGTCTGGTATCAAATCCAGTTTGACGGAGATTATGTCAGGTTATGTGTCCTTACAAATTAAAACTTATAAAACTTAAGATGGATGTAAGAGGTGCTCAGGTCTTTCTAAGAATCAGGGCTCAGGGGTTAAAAAAGAGGAGGATGAAATAAAGAAAAGGGTCAATGATGAGTACATTACCACACGAGAGAACTCCACAGGCTCCAATAAGCAATGGGCCAGAGCATGCAATAAATCAGGCTGGTGAGGGAAGAAAGACATGATTGGGAGGAAGTTAATAAAGAAATGGGACAGGGAGTGAGTGGACATGAGGAGTTTGACATGAGGGATAAAAGGGCCGTGCAGTTCATTTAATATTTGCGAGGATGATCTGAAAGAAGCGGTTGAAGAAAAAGTTTCCTAATTGGAGGGGGAAAAAAGCATAAAATTGAGCCTAAATGTCACTAAATGTTTCTTCTTTTGCCACTGAGGGGCACTGTGCCAGTTTCACTGCACCGATGGCTGCATTCACAAGTCAGAGTACTCAGAAAGTCTTAATTTATATCTGCCTTTCTTCCCGAATCCCGCTAGAATGCATGCTTTTACCTGAGGTGTGCCTCCCAAGATGAAATTAGCACATATGACGACACAGAACTCAAACACACAAACAAAGGAGTTAGCAAGCGTTTGGACTTACAGGTACAAGCTTCCAATACCATTTGGAGGGAGACTATTGTCCAAGAGCCACAGAGGGAAGGAATTAATAGGGGGATACAAACAGGAAGAGCAGTACACAGGTCAAGGGTCAGATACAGCGACAGAAAATCAGATTATCTCCAGGCCGAGAGGAGAGAGATCTGATCCTCTCTGATCTGGACAAGGGTAAGACTTAAAGGTGCATACTTTACAGTGATATTTAAAGATACATTCTCATAAAAAACATAAACATTTGTGCTCATAATGCCATCAAAAATTTGAAATCACACACATTATCCCAACAGCTTTCAATTTAACACGACTTAAGCAGATTTCCTGCATGAACTTGGACACACTTTATTACCAGTGTAGTCAAATGAGAGCTCACAGTGTACCAGGATATCTCTGCAAATCCGTGAGGACAATAGGGTATTTTCAGTCAGGCTTGATTACAGTGAATCAACAGCAATCTGACTTTTACAGATGAATTTGAAACTATATTTCCAGAGTATAAAATGTCAAAGTTATGTGGACGAATGGCATCCACAGATCTGAGATTAAGAGGTGCCGTAAGGACACAGATGCAAGAGATGGACAGCAACCTGACAGTTAGCTGCTAGCTAAAACATCAGAATATGAAGACAATGCATTTCATTTTTCATATGACTAAACATGCTTTCAGCATTCCTGCCAGAGGGGCAACAACAAAACTGCAGAACGACATGATTCCACACAGCCAGATTTGTTTTAAAAGCAAAGAAAAAAAGAGGTTCTTTACCTTCTGGTGGCTGGGTGACTCTAGCATGTGTTGTTTTAATTTACACTCTTTTTCTGTTAGCTCCCTCATCTTTAGGTTCACCTGAAGTAAAGAGAAGAGCAGAAATCAGCGCCTGTCAAACGGTGCCCCGATCCAAACACCGGTTTGTCTGTTACCTTGTTAATCCAGAAGATCATCGCATCTTCCAGGTCGTACGGGAGCTCCTTGGAGGCACTGAAGTTTGAAAAGCGCTTTACACAGGACACCACCTTCTCTATGCTCATCATCTCTGCTGTGTAGGCCATCATCAGGGCATCAATGAGGTGGATGTGGGAGCTCTGGGGGGGTTAGATATGATAAAAGACAGTATGAAGTTAAAACAGCATTCATTACCAGTCCTTTATTAAACCTTCATGCTTGAAATTTGTATTAAAAATCAGGAAAACTGAGTAAGATGACACCAACACACAGCAGCCCTATTTTGTTTTTTAACATACAAATGTTCATATATATTATCTTTATGTATTATCTTTCAATTACTACTGTATATGTCAAAGTTATTTAGTCTCTATATGATCATTAACATTCTCGTCTACACTCATAAAACTCAACCAAACTTATCCAGCTTGTATCAAGTGTTTTCTGGCGTCTCATCTCTCTGCAGAGGGGGGCCATATTAAATAAAAATGGGGCAGAATATTGCCTCATAAATAAATCAATTACACACTAAAAAACCTGCTAAACCGTCCCATTTGCTGGTGCATTATTTATTCCATCACTCTCTGCTCATATTTGTTTCTGGAAAGCAAAAACAAATGAGCTCATTACCAGATGGTAAGTGTGTGTTTCCAGTTCAGTAGGTTACTCCACAGCACAAAATGTGTCCTTCACACCTGACTGGCAGCATGAAGACTTCCTGATCATTAATCATTAAAGCAGCATTTTTAACAATAAGTTTACATGCTGAAATTATTATGTTTTGTTCTGTTTTTGATATTCCATGTTTCAGGAGAAGCTTTTTGGCTCTTTCCTGGTGTTTTTTCTATTTTCCTTTAAATAAGTTTGACATTTCCTCATGGGACCAAACTAGACTGTTTAAGATCCTCTTTTAGCATGTTCCAAGCCAAAGGGGCAGAATAAGAAAATATGTTGTTGCCAAACTCTGCACATTCTGGGAACTCTAAACCTGTGAGTGAAGACTATGATATAGATATGTCTTGCTTCTTCCAGGTGCCACACGGAGCTATGAAAGATGGAAGAAGGTTTGGAAAATGTCTGACTCCCACTGAGATAAGCCACACCTCTCAGGAATGAATTAATGGAATTCAGTGGGGAGTGAACTCCACCTTCATCAACACAGATTCATGTTGCTTGTAAACTGAAGGTCTTTATCTGCTGTAGTTGTTCTGGTGTGTTTTTGTCTGAATGAAAGCACGCAGAGGGAACAACACACCATTTTGATGGGGGATGAGCTGAGATCCAAATGAGAAACGGGTGTGTTGTTGGTCTCCAGGACGTAAATGCCTCTTCGGGCGAGGGCTTGGATGACGGACTGGTGGCTTTGGAGTGAGGCAGCCTGCTCCGGGGGGAGGATGAGCCCACACACGCGGCAGTACAGCTCTCCGGACAGCAGCAGGCGGATGATGGGGGGCTTGATATGCTCCTGTTCATACTGGTCGGTGTAGAATGGGTCGCGCAGGTCTGTGGGGATGTGATCTGGAACAAGGGAAGACGACACGCTGACGTTCGTTCCTGAGCCGTTTCATGTCTGCTGAATCAGGATTTCAGTAAGCCACGATCGAAACCACGCATCCACTCTCCAACTATTTCTACACAAACACGTGACCGCCTATGTCTCACCGTGTTACATAACCGAGAAGCTCCCGTGTGCAGACTTTAATTGTATTAAACTCTTTTAGAAGACACCAGAGTAGCTGCACACCACTGAGGCCGGGTCAGAGGTAGAACAGAGGCTTTAAATCAGGGAGCTAACACGAATTAGTAGTCATCCTTAAGCTGATGGAGTTGTCCTTGCTAGCCTGGTGTTTTCCTGCTCGTGGACATTGACATTAGGGAGCTATTTTTACATGCTTCAGACATCTTAATCCAGAGTTAAAACAAGCCGCTCTCTAAAAATGTAGCTTCCAGCATGTTCTGCATATAGAACAAACAGAATACCGGGAAACCATCTGATAAGACTTAAAGGTAAATCCTATAAGTTGGGGTTGGACGTAATATTAATTTGGGATTTCCTTAAGTGAAAAAAGACTATCACAAGAGCCTGAACATTGAACATTTGTCAACAGGACTCTTTAAAGGTGTCTGGAAAAGTATGGTAACTTTCACTGGTTTTCATCATCTCCATCAGGAACAGATGATACTCTCCAGTACATACTAATTCCCCATCACTCATCACAGGTGTACTGTTACAGGATATTTTCCAGATGTTTTCTGAAAAGGTTTCATGCAAACTTAAAATTAGGCAGAAGTTGTCTATTGTTTATTCTACCAGAAAATGAGCCTCCAAAAATAAGTTACATTAGTCTTTTAACCATAGATAGTCAGAAAAATACACACCCAATAAGTTGTCATTTGTCGCTTTCTTTTTCAGTTTTTCCTTAACAACTCCAACTGATCAGGTTAATTATGCAACAAATAGGGTCTTCAATATTTAATTCTATGCACAGGCCATTTAGAAAAGAATTTACAATCTAAGTGACTGCTTGTCTATCAAGTCACAGATTCCCACATTTGTGAGAAATCATAAAATGCACAAATGATAAAAATTTAGACCAAAATGCGCAGATTAAAAACAGAAAATAAACAGCAACTGTTTGAAGGTTTATTCTCTGATCGATATCAAAGTGCTATGAGAGCTTTAAAGCCTTTTAAACCCAAGCAATTTTCCTGGTGTTGCTGCACATTAGAGGCTGGCACGGACAACCAGGCAACATCTACAGGAAAACACACACACACACACAGCATTCTTTAGTAAGAACAGCTCAGTGTGAAGACCTTTCACGGCAGACTGTATGCTTGGCACGGGCCGCACAAACTCAGCCAATTTAGCTCGGTCACATGCGCACAAAGATGGAGATCCTGTATGAAATTCCCTTGATGTGATCACCCCATCAGATGGGATGCAAGGATGGGATTTTACCCATGCTGTTTTGCTCTTTCAGCCTGGCTAACCGTTAGCCTTAGCCGTCCATGAGTGCTCCCCCGCCGCCCCCGGTTGCTGTGGAGACGGTGATAGGGAGTGCCAGCATGGCTGGAGGTGGGGGCTGGGATGCTGTTCCATCTCCTGCTCTCTGGATCCGTTTACGGTCCTTGACATCAGGAGATGTGTGTGTCTGTATGCGTGTGTGTGTGTTTTGTGGAAACGGAGTGGGGGGATGTCGGAGCTGTCCTCTAATTCTAGAGGCTAATACTCCCTCTATTATCCACCTGATCCCAGTATTAAAGCCCACCCTGGTGAGAATGTGTGAGAGTGTGAGGTGAATTAACAAGGGGCATGTGTGAGCGTGCGCGTGTGAGTGTGTGTTTTACATGCAGTACGTGTCCTTCTCTTTTTCAATGGGCCAAATTGACCGGCAGAGATCTTGCTGACAGACGAGGCAGAGCTGTCAGACTCTGCAACTCTTCTGTCCAGCAGCCCGGCTAAATGGAGCGCCTCCCTGAAAGTGCACCAGAAAACACAGCCTTTGTGCTGATAGACCCACAGACACACCCCCGACCTGTCAGCACCTCATGTTTAACCCATTTTAAACCTTCATTACAGCTGGACAGATATTTCCCATATGAATTACATGTACTAATGTACCCATAAGTGTGCTTGTGTTGGATTTTGACCTCAGAGGGTGCAACATTATCTGAAAAGATAATGGCCTATGATTCCACAAAGTTAAAACAATTCAAATAATTGTAGATATCTCACCAAAAACAAAGAAAAAACACTGAGGAAAGACCTCACTGTCTCGCCGTTCATAAACAAGTCAACAAACAGGCTGTGTTGAACGAGAAGTAAGCCCTCAGGTCCAATCCCATTAAAAACTTTAACATGTGACTGACTTTGCTGACTATAACACCAGTGGACAGACAACACAGAGCTTCCAGTGTTTGTGCGTTTGAATTCTAATCTAATAACTGTGTTTTGGTTCTTCTGTCATACAGGTCAACTGGAATCGGAGGCGTGTACACAGCTCAAATCAAATTAAACGGGATTCCCAGTGGAAGGACCCAAGAACTGGAACCATTTCTGTTACACTACACAGAGAAGTCTGCGCCTAACAGGTTGCACGGGACCATTGCCCCCCCACACACCGCAATCTCACCCCTGAAACAAAACATTGTGCAAAATGTGCAGCCTCATCCCACCTCAACCTGTCTGACAGGAAGTTCTGCAAATATCTTTAGATGATTTATCAAAGTTGCTCTTCAAGCAAAAAACAGTCAAACAGTTCTTCACTCTGGTCTCATGATTGTGACAAATTGAATCAAATACAGACAGTTTTGAAAATGATGGTTAAAATATCACGCTAAAATTCAATAAGTTTAACGTTGGCATCCACATAAATTAATTAAACATCACTATTGATGATCTCAACTGCTGTGAAAGGAATTTCAGGTATTTCCATAGCTAATAAATGGATAATCCATTAGTCAGATGATGGATAACATGTTGTCTTCATTTCCCCAACTACAGAAGCTCCGGTTTATATCTTAAAAACCCGGTGACTTAGTGGTAAGCAATATGATATTCGGTTATGATAATCACGTCCCAACTCTAAAGCGTGTCTATTATTTGAGAGTTGCACAGTAAGGGCGAAAAGCCTGTCTCACTGTTGCTGGCCCTTCTGAGGTAAGCAGGGGCGAATGAGATTAAGGCAGGAAATCTGGCGAGGTGATGGAGATGGTTTGGTATTTAGAGGCTGCTGATCTCTGGTCTTCAACAACAAAGAGTTGAATAACAGAGAGGTGAAGACAGCAAACAGCAAACAGAGAGCAAGTTACTGGAATCAGAAATCTGCTCACGTGATGCTGGTCAAGCTGCTGTTAGACACACATTTTACAATCAAGGGAAACTTTTTTGGAGGGAAAAAATCGCTAAATAATAGTTGTGCATGCATGCGTGGTTTTCTGCTCGTCACTTTTTGGTGCCTGCGTGGGAAATACATGATTTGTTAAGCATGTCTACCGATTTGTGTGTAACTTTGGACGATCTAAGCATGTCAATTAAGCGCGCCCACATTCTAGGAACAGATTTTTTTACCTTCAGCATCATTAATGGGATCATTTCCCTGTTAAAACAAAAAATCCTTCAATATATGTGCATGAACAGCCCTGTACACAGGCCAGTCTATATTCAAAAACGGATCAGCGTCCCAGGTCACCGGGACCCCGTCTCTCCTCCTTGGACTTTCATTCAGTGCGGAGCATTTAGGTGCTTGTGAAAAGCTGGGACGTCTGGGTTTTGCACTCATCTCACAGTCAACTCACCGTGTCATCCACTGCAAAGTGGAACCAAACAGGACAAAGAGGGGAACTCTTCCACCACAGTGTATCTGACTCATAAAACGGATGAGTCTGCCTCAGCGTCTCCATCCAAACGCCTCATTGTCACGCCGACGGACACGGAGACTCGCACAGCCACCGAGTGACACAAAAACCCACATTCAAAGAGTCACTCCCTGCCACAGACGATGGGGAACAATCACTGCAAATGTTTTGAACAGACCTAATCAAAGCTGGCAGGGCTACTGAGCAAAGTGTGGGCCATGATACGGCAGCCCCACTTTTTCTCTCAGTAGTACAAAGGTCTTTCAGCTTCTCTGCTGTAACGGAAGGGAAATCTTCTCATCTGAAAGCCAATCTACATCTGATTGTAGTAAGAAGTCACAAAAAAACGGGAAATTATTTTTGTTGTGACTTGTAAACATCTCTGCAAACAGGATAGAAATATATTAATCAATGTGTCCATGTGATGTGCTACATTATTCTTTCAGTGAAAACCGGAAAATCAGCTTTAACACATCCTGGACAGAAGTTAAACGTGGTGTTTTCAATTGTGGATGCATCTGCTTTATTCTCTTTGTCCTTTTAAGGGTCCTAGGAGGGGCAACGTGGACTAGTCGGAACTGAGACAAACATGAATGCTTCCTCTTGGGGTCCACCTCAAATCAGCAACAAACCGAACATGAATGCCAAGGAACTGTGGGCGGAGTCTAGATCAGACAGATACAAAAAGGCAAAACCTCGATCTTTTTCACTCCAACTCTACTCAACATTTAATCCGTTTGACCGACGAGCTGTCTGTTCACTATACCATAGCAGACCCAGCTCTGCATCGAGGCTTTTTTCCTATACAAACTCATTTGGTGGTTAGCTTATGGGTCCAGAGTCCAGAAGATAATAAGAAGATTAAACAAATATCATTTAAAACATCCAGAAGCCTAAAAATGATATCTTTAATGCCTCTTTTCATCAAATTCATCTGATAAAATAATTTTGGAAAAATTTCCCATTCAAAAGTGCCTCTAAGAACTGTCAGAAATATTGACTGTTATTTACAGTCCGCTCATCAAATCTCGACAATTTGATCAACTGGAGTTAAAATGTTGTGTATCTGATTTGAGTCCGAAGCAGTCCAGCTACAAACATCTTCTAGGGGAAAAATAATCATGTAAGGCTTGTAGATGTTCTCAGGGGTGCAAAGAAGGCTCCAGAGGGGACCTTACCTGTCCCATAGGCTTTGGCAAACAACCAGCGGAGATTTGCGTCTATTTTGGCCCGTGCGGAATCATAGAGCTCCAGCGGTACCAGCTGAGCCTCCATGCCTCCTCCACCTCCTCCTCCATCCTCATCGTCCGCTGCTGCTCCCCTCCAGGTGCCGTCCCTGCCAGCACTCACGTCCATCCTGCACAAAGATACACAAAGATGCACAAAGATGCACAAAGATGCACAAAGATGTGGGGACTAGTGGAAGCCAGCAGCATTACATCACTCACAATCAAGACAATAACAAGCCGGGCCTTCCTCACCTGCTCTGATGATGATATGACACACAAAGCTCACGCATTCCCCACGTCTGACCTGTCAGTGCGGCCCACCTGTCCCTGACCACGGTCATCTGTGTCCACGCGCCATGTACGCAGGTTTAAATCCCACGCGAGCACCGTTTACTTCTTCTATCAGCTGATGATGTGAGCTGGCTTTAAGCTGCGCCTCGGGACGTAAATACGACCGCGACACCGTCCTATTTGAGCTAATTAACCACAAAACCCACCAGTCGTCGTCGGTTCTTTTTATTTGATATTAACTAGGCTTGTCAGAGCGACCAAACGTCTGACCGAAACGCCAACCTCGCACCGACAACTTCATTGAATTGACCGCTAGCTAAACTGCGCGCCTCCAAATTCTAAACAAACACAACAAAGACTCACCTCTAAGAGCACATTTGCGTCCTCTGCCAGATTCAGCCGTTGGGAGCGTGTTGTTAAACCGCCGACATGCTGCCTCGGCTTCTGGTAACGGTGGAGCAGCAGACTGCGGTCCAGCCCCGCCGCCCGTTCGCTGAGAGGCGGATAAGACACGGCCCTGGCTCTCCCTCCGCAGTGCGCATATGCAAGGGGCATTACGGTATTCGCGTTTGCGCGCAGGACTCTCTCGCGCTACATCCCAACTCTACTAATTACGGTTTCAGAGGTCGAACTGAGATTGCTTTTACATGCCATAAATAGGTTCAAATTCCCCCAATCAGAACGAGGTTGATGTGCTGCCCCATATGGGCTATAATTGAGGTGCAAAAAGGAGACCGTGAAGGCATCTGAAGGGTTTTTGGCCCAGTGAGAAGTGTTAAAATCAATTTGTATTCAGCTGTCATGATGCCACTTTGCACCTTTCTGACTTTCAGACTTTGTAGCTGATAAATGGGACTGTTCTGCTTAATTTTCCTCCATTTACAAATCAGATCAGATTAAATCCAAATTAGAGTAAAACTGGTGTTTTCCTTCAAGCACCTCATATCAGGTCCTTGTGTTTTCTGAGTTACACAGACGTAGCAGTTTTGTTCCAGTCCGTTTTATTCATTCAAGCAGTTTCAATGGAGAAGTGGAAAAGCTTCCCACCCTTTGAAACAGGGGTGGGCAGCTCTGGTCCTGGAGGGCCGCTGTCCTGCAGATTTCATGAGTTTCTCTGCTTCTACATGTTTGATTCAGATTAAATGGATCTCCTCTAGTGGTTGTAAAGCTCTGCACAAGACTGTTGATTGTGTGTTGATGTGAATCAAGTGTGTAGAAGCAAACCAATGCTTCAAAGCCTGATCTGAGAAAAAAATAGACAAAATTAAAAAAAATTTTAGTCTGAAGTCTTTATTTGACCATTAAGAAAAAAATGAAAGAATCAACAAAAACTATTTTAGCACATTTACCATTTATTACTGTGCAATAAATCATAAAAATTTCCACTTAGTCTTCTGCCCACTGGTTCTATCAGCTATATCAGATTGTGTACGGCAGGGTTGTGCGCAAAGGTTTTATTATAAAGTGATGCAACAGTTCTGAGTTTTTTTTTATCCTTGAAAGTTGAGCCTTAGCCCATCTCAAACGTTCTACAGATCCCTCCAAGATAAGAAATGAAGGCAATGCTTAGGTTTTTTTATTCTTATGAATCAGTACATTACTCAGTATATTTCAAAGTCTGACATCCAAAGGGAAAAAGTCCGTCTTTTGGAAAACTTCTTGAAATTTTACTGGGTTCATAAACCACTGAGTCTAAATCATGTTTTTGAAACCCAAACACAACATGCAGGGCCCTGAGGATCAGAATTAAGAAACACAGGTCTAAATCGTCTTTTAAGTAGTTACGTAAAGACGTTGGAACTAATTTCTGTGTGGCTCTGTGTGCAACACTTCATTGAGCAATCCAAGCATTTTCAGCCAATTCAAAATCATGTTTCAATAGGTCCATGTTATGTTCCTGTTATTGGTACAAGTCTGCCCCCTGCTGACAGAAGATGGCGGTGCATGCGCTGTACCCACTGTAGGGAGCTCTGAACTGTAGAAATATCATTATCATTATAAGCCATTATCACAACATAACGGGATCCATCAGAGTTAATGATAGTCATTATTATTATGGGCACATTATGAGCTAGTTTATGACCTATATGAGCCCCTCTTAAATAAGCAGATTTGATACATTTTCTTTATTTTTTCTTATAATTTATTTTATTTACCATTTCTCCTCCACTCTTTATATTCACACTTTGTCCACAAAACCACATTGATTATGATGTCACCGCTTTGGTCAAATGTACTTTCTGCTTCATTTCCCATGAGCCAATAACTTTTTTTCAATCTCTCTCTTATTTCAAACCTAATTTCTGCTGTCATACTTTCTGTCACACTTTCTGAATCATGTCAAGCATCTCATCTCCTCTGTCTCCAGAAGCCCAGAGTTTGGGACTTTTCCACTCTTCCGCATTTGTTGAGGCCTCACCTGATTCAGGCAACGTTAAGGTCATGTTACACAACGTGTATAAAGCACAGGAGCAAATCAAGCAACATCATATCTTTATTATGAGCCAGGTGTGTGCAACAACATGAGCTCAGACATGCATCAACCGCAACACAGGGAGAGAGGATTGTTGAATATGCAGCTGGAACATTGAAGCTGGCACTAAAATGCATTTTTTCTCACACGTTTGTGCAGGAACCATTACGTATTTATTATGACGTCTGTCATTTCTGGAATCTTCATCATAATTGAACGAAAGGTCATGCAGAAGCACTTTTGGCCTTTGCACCCTTCTGGCGGAAACAAAGACAGCTCAAACATGCGCACGTGGAGGTGAGCACATCGTTTTCAGCCAAGGCTTTTCACATCCACAATGAAGGCTTGCCATCGTAATTTTTATGTCAGCTCCCATATTTAACATATGTAGGATGACAATTAGACACGAAAAACACATGTAAATTAAATGTTATTTGGAAATGGAACATCATATACCAACTCATAAAACAATGACCTCAGAGATGCGAGTGGCAGGATGGGTCAAATATGAGGTCAGAGACAGAAAATTCCCTCTGTTTGGTCTGAGTATGGACGCAGACAGCATTACAACACACGTGATAGCAAAGACATTCTATTCTCTATAAGATGCGATCGGGTCAGAGGTTTACAGTTTCCATGGTAAGCCACATTTTTGTCTGTTTGTCTCTCCTTATGAGAAAGAAAAAAACACCCACGGTTTCCACAGCAGACGCAGCTTTCATGTTGCACTTTGAGACAAACTACGCAAAAGAAAGAGGATGGATCTGACACAACAGGAAGACGATAATCAACAGGTCGAAATGCGCCCGAGGGTGGACGGTGACTTAATCCTCGAACTGGACGGTGTTGTCGTTTACTAGAACGTGCCAGCGCTCGATCTTCTTGTCTTTGTTCTTGAGGCATTCGTACCAGTGCTTCAAACACTCGCCTTTGGCCTGGATGCCTAACTGACATCCCCCTGGAGACAGAGAGGGAAGTGAGCATAGTTGACACATGTGAGCGTCATGCTGACAGACAGGCTACTTTAATAGCATTCAAAAAAGTCACACAAACTCACTCACAATGTCTATATAACAAATCTTATTTCAGGTTTTATGCAGGAAACTTCAGATAGTGTTTGCTGAAGCTCAGAAAGAAGACTCCAGGTAAAAACAAGCTGCTTTAAATAGCCTAATGGCTAATGGTCTCTTGAGGGTCTCCTCATCATTCCCCACTAGCTCTTCCTCTAGCTGACATGATGAGAATTTAAGGGTTCCCGCTGTGGATTAACAGTGGGTTAATTGTTGTGCCGACAATATGTGAAAATATTTCTGGCAGCACATGCAAATCCTGTGGTCGCACAAACATTTGGGCCATGGATGCATTATCTGGGACTTTATGATTCATAATGGTGCTAAAATCCACATAATGTGGATTCATTTGGACAAAGATTTGGGCCCCGGGGATTTCATCTGTTCATGTTTCTTTATTTAGACCAAAGTTGTGAAATGTCCAACAAAAACTGATCTCTCTCCCCCATTAACACAGCTAGGAGAAAATTTTCAAACCGCTTACCAATGAAATCATTGGATTTTCCCATGTCGTAGTCCCACACTGAGATGTCAAGGGTTTTCTTGGCCAGCTCAGCATGCTTCACTTCATAACTGAACTCCTGAGTCACAATAAAGAAATGGAGATTACTAAGATATCCGCAAGACCAGAGCACATGATCGGGGTTTAACGGGCACTGACCTCGTTAAATTCTGGGTTCAGCGTCTTCTTTTTTATCTGCGTTTTGTTTTTTGCTTTCTTTCCCATGTCTGGTTTCAGACATCTACAGCACAAGAAAGCAAAGACAGACATATTTATACATTTTTGAAAGAACCATTGAAATAATAATAAATAAATAATCAAATCAAATAGAATAAAGGTACAAATTAGCTTGAAAAGGTTTTTACAAACCCACAAAGTGGTTAAGAGGAAACATTTTCAAACTCCAACTTCCTCTGATGTTGGAACATTGTTTAAAATGTAAATGAAACTAAATGCAAACAGTTGCATTCCATTTTCAAAGTATATCAGTTTTAAATGCAGCCTGAGGGGTCAAAGGTCGCAGGCCGTCAGTGTGTTTTTTTTTTATTTGTTTTACACCACATCCCAACTGTGGAATTTGGGGTTTGTACAAGGCTTGGCTCTGTATTTCCTCACAGAATCTGATCTTTTATGTGAGGATGAAGAGGACTGAGGCGCGTACATTTTGACGAAGGGGTCCGAGTATCCGTTTGAGTCCATGGCGGCCAGGTGGGCGCAGCGGACCACGCCCACTATCAGACGGCCCTGCTGACTGTTGTACATCAGAGAGATCAATACCCGACCCCTCTCTTCTGAGTCCTCCCCCTCCTTCAGCTGTACAGAGAAAAACAAACATTCACACACATATTTGTGATGTTTTACTCATGTGGGTTCACATCTGGAAGGGCCATTCTTTTATCATGATGTCTGCCCCAATGAAGGTATTCAGTCCAATATCTATAGAGACAACAAAAAAGGAGCATTTTCACACTCCACCAAACTTGTAGCTTTACAGTCCAGGTTTAAGAATCAATCTTAATTCATAACTGTAACCAGGATAGAGAAGTTTCTGTGGGACAAAATCTCAAACCTTATGCCGTAACTGATTGGAAACAATGAAAAGACATGAAAAAAAGAAAATACTTTTACAGCAGTCAGAGTAGGCATTGGCTCACAGTTCGGAGTGACATGTTTTATCCATAAACAGGATGCAAAAAAGATCCAGGATGTGCCAGTTTGACAATATGCAGAGTAACATGAGAGCAATAACACAGGAACCGATACCAAGGGGAAAGTAACTGAGAGCAGATATATTGATGAGGAAATGCGATGAGGATCAATTACATCTGGAGGATGTGCTTTAGATGGAGTCGATTAAATGCTCCTACATCAACAAATCAGAGGAAAGAGACACAAACCTCAAATGAAAATAGTTGACCTCACAATCTGAGACTGAGTCTCAGAAAACGCTTGTGAAACATAACGTAATTCAATGCCTGTCATTCGGCTTTTTCTAAAGCAATTTTCCACGTCCTTCTTAGATATTTAGACTGTTAAATTATTTCCATTTTCAAAGGAAAAGTGATATTGGGTTTAATTCAGAGTGGTTTGAAAACCATATGTGGGTCTTACATCATCTTCGTACAGCGCCATTCCTCGGATAGAGCCCCCAACGGCCTTCTTCACCTGAAAAAACAACAGTGAACATCACCTTCATCATCATCATCAAAGGCCCCTCTTTACAAGATATCACCACTTTTTAAAATAAGTGTGAGGGATTAAGCATGTTTGTCTTCTTTCTCCTCAATAAACTTTTTAATACTATTCAGTTGAAGCCAGTTAGTTGTATTTAGCAGGTAGAATTTAAGAGGCCTTTTTTTTAAATACATTTTGCACGATAATTAATTTTATATTATCTTAAAAACCTTATTTAGCTGTTACAAAAGCCCCCCAAAAAAGCCCTGTTTTGCCCCTTGTTCTTACCGGGACCACTCTTTCCAAGCAGATATTGAAGTTCTTCTTCTGGTTGAATTTCAGTTTCTTTAGGGCCACTCGTGTCTCTCCGATGAATTCATTATGTCCAAACTTGTCCTCGTCGCTCACTGAAAGCCTGACAAGAGATGGTACTCTCTTTGAGACCCTTTTTTCCTTTAGGGCAGAGGGAGTCAAACGGGGTTGGGCTCACCTGAGAGTCTTGCGTGTCATTTCTTCATCAGTGATGCCGTGGTACACCAGAGTCTCGTTCCACACTGGATTCAAGGTGTTTTTAAGAGTCTTGGTTCGAAGCTTGTTGGACTAAGGACAAAATAAACACAAATGAATAAAGTCTCATAGTTAAGATGAAAAAATGAGAACCTAGAATGCAGAATGCAACAAATGAATGAAGTCATTTCATGAACTTAGATCCCAAAAACGATTTAATTAATAAATACCTTACTGGCTCCAGGTAACAGGTGCAGCTTAACGTATGGATCTGCAAGGCCATTGGAGTCCATTGGCTTCAAACCCTGAGAAGAAAGACAAAACTATCGTTAGATCCAGCAGGAAATGTGTCCTCACTTAGCTAAGGAAGCCGTTTCCTGTTCGGTTTTGAGTTCTCAATTGAAAGTTTGCCCGTTTTCGTCTTTTTCGATCTAATCTGTCCTGTCTTTTCTTGTCTTGTCCAGTCAGGCCTCGTGCTGTTCCATCTTGTTTGGACTAATCTAATTGAACCCCTGCAGTCTTTTCTCTACTTGTTTTGCTCTGTCTTGTCTTGTCCTCCTCTGACCTTTGTGGCATTTTTATTGCCCCATATCTGTTGTCCTCTTTATTCGAGTCATTTCTTCTCGTCTGCTTAGTCTCAGCCTTGCGTTATTCCATTCTGTCTTGTCTCATTTGGTCTCGCATTGATGTGATTTTCGTTGCAAAATAATCCCATCTCGTCCTTATCTTGTTGTGTTTTTTGGACGCTGTCTTTTCTCAGAGTTCTTCTGTTTACCTTGGCTTTGACGATGCAGCAGTGGAGGGCGTGGCTCTCCTGTTCATACAGAAGACTAAACTCCAGAGACCCCAGTGTAGCTGGAAGATCACAGGAACACAACTAACGTCAGGAGAGGGGATGGATGATGAAATCTCACACTGAAAGTCCAAAAAACCTCAAATAAATTGGTAAAGTTCTCATAAAACAGGAATTATCGGACTTACTGGCATCGTCTGAGTCATATTCGTTGTCATCGTCCTCGGTTGGCTGTGGCTGGGGTTTTGGAGGTGAGGAGATTTGGGCAGCCGGAGTAATTCTGGCTGCGGGATTATGAGACGAAACAGCGCTGGAGGCAACAGGTAGTCTTTTTTCCTCCCCGCGTGGACAGGAAACTGCCTCCACCTTATCCAAATGCTTGTTTTCTGCATTCAGCCCGAGACCCCGAGGAGTTACCACACAGCTGGCACTATCGGAGGAATCTTTTTATAAAAATCTGCCTTATTCTTGGAAGGAGCTGCGTCACTTTACCTGAGGTGGGGGCCACATGTGCGCCGGCACTGGGTGGTTTGGAAACCGACACGTGTCTCTCTGCATTCATTACAGCTGCTTGACTGGAATAGCTCTCATTACAGCTGTCAGCTGTTGTTCTCGCTGTCTGCTCCCATTGTTCGGATCCGCAGGATGGCTGCGGTGCCTCGGCCCTGAGCTCTGAGGAAAACATAATAAGATTATCGCTGCTGCCAATGCTGTCAGCGCAAAAACGCTACCACAACAGGCTTCACTCCTCAATGGATGGATTGCTAATGTGCATTTGGCTTCGGCACAAGAGGTCAGCAGCGATTCATCATGCAGGAGTTGTATGAGCTCAGAACATTAAAAAGGTTTCCGAGATGCAAAGTTACGACAAACTAGATTCACAACAAAGACTTAAACCAACCAGAAATATGTAAAATGATCAAAATAAAAAGATTTACCAAAAAAGAGGAATATAAATCTAACAATATTGTGCGGTATCATGCAGGAATCTGCATCTGCATGACATCTGGATCACATGCATTTTCTCTGTGATGTGCTATGATTTCTATATTGTATTCTGGACCCCATCAAGATGATGCCTCTCAAAATTTTACACCAAGTATTTAGCTGATTTTTAATATAAAGAAATAATAAAGTTCAATAAAGCCTCGATAAAGTTTGAAGAGAAAAGAGAGTTTTGTAGGAGTTACCGTGTCCTTGGTCATGTTTTCTGGGTTCCTGAGATCCGCTGTGGCCTCCCAGTTGGGGGCTGTTCTCTGTGGTGGACGGCCGGGGTCTGGACAGAGGCAGGGGGGCTGGCAGACCCTGCTGTTCTCGACCCTTAAAGAACCAAGCCCCGGAGCGTTTCTGTACCTGCGGGACACACAGTTAACTCACCTGGTTCAGCTGGTGACGGTGGAAAAAAATTATCATAATGAACCCAGGACTAGGAAAACATCAGTAAACTCAAGAGACCCGAATTTTACAAATCTGTTCTCCAAAGAGGACCGTTTTAAGGCCTGGGTTTTAAGGTGAGATGAGATCCATAAGTTACAAGTTATTCATTATATCTCTGTAGAAGCAAAGCAGGCTGTCAGGTAAAACAATCTTCATGTAGATGGGAAAATAACACCACAACAGCAATATCTGTCTCCTTTATCATTCAGCAGCATGAGGGAATAATTCACAAAGATTGTTTGTTGACATTCAAAATATTCTGTATTCTGCAAGCCTCTACTGAACAGTGACGGGAGGAGTCTCAAATTATCTGATGATTCTCTGATTTTACTGTTAAAATGTTGCTCTTTATTTAGCGAGACACCAGTTTTATATGTGCAGCATTGCAGATTAGGTTTTTATGACTGACAGAAGAGAGCATTCATTTAAAGAGTCAGGCCGTCCTGAGGCATGGACCTCAGAAACTCACCATCATCAAAACAGGATTGCGTAACTTTATTAAAAAGAAAAACTGAAAGTGGAGTGTATCATTTGTGTAACATCCTCCCTAATTTCCTTGGTTTGTCTCATTATTTCATCAGTGTTAGAATAAATTAAAGCATATTTTTCATTTAGGTTATTTGAGGTGTTTATGTTTGACATTTTCCAGATCAGTAGGCAGTGAAAGTACTTCCCCGATGAAAGATTAGCATAAAAGCAATAAAATGGGTCTTATTATGAGAAAAGATGGGCTTCTGGTGGCACAGTGCTGAGTTAATGTTACAAATTGCTCACGCGACTGAAGCTGCTCAGCTCATGCTCTGTTCTGCTCACCTCCTGCTGCTCGTTGCAGATCCGACACAGCCACGTGGGACACGTCCTGCTGTTTACACAAATCCCACATTTGCTGCACATATTCTGCAGAAAGAGAACCACACACCGTAAGAACACACCACTGCACACGCAAATGTAGCCTTTGACAGCAGGTGCACGGAGAGCATAGATTTTTACAGTTCAGAAGGCATTAGGCCGTAGTTTTTAGAGCAACAAGGAGCAGATTGTCACGCATAAGACCTGGAACCGCACATGGTATAGTCAGAGTCAGTTACCACATGCCTCAATTGCCGCTAAACGCCACAGAAAACCTTGTTTGTCTAAGAAGAAATGCAAAAACAAGAAAAAACATAGAACTCAAGCTGAGAAAATTTGCGGATACATTTCACTAATATTTTCACTTAACTGCTGCATCAGATAGAGAAAAAAACATGACAAACTGTTTGAAACAGTACAGACAATGTGTCCTGGAATGTATGATGCTCTTCATTCTTCTGCATGAATCCAAAATTGATGGAAATTTGTCCGAAAGAATCAAAGCAAAAATAAGATTAACCTGACCAGGAAAGAATATGTGTAACATCAGCCAATTTACATGCAGGTTCTGTGCTGAAAACTGGTCCTTCATAAAATCTGTGCCCTCATTTACACCCCACTCTCAATGATGCAAACACGAAACAAACAAAAACATTATAGTCAGAAAAATGTACCGCTGTTTTGTAAAGTCTTTTGGATTATATCAACCACAGTTCATAGTAAATATGGGAACACTGACCAAAAGCATGGTCAACACTTTGAACAATGATTACAAAGGATTAAAAAAGCATACCATAATAAAGTATAAGCTAATAGAAGCTACAGAAAAACCAGGACAAGTGACTGAACTTCAATAAAATCATCTTTTGTAATGATTTTGACCCAGAAAAATACAATGAACCTACTTTTTTACACTGCACACAGAGGACGGCTGTCACCCCGTGTGGTCCAAAGGATTCCCCACACAGCAGACAGCGGGACAGTCCATCACCACACGCCGTTTTCTTTATGTTATCCAGGCGACTGGAGAGCCGGCTGAAAGCAAAAGCAAAGAGGCACAGGTTTTGACTTAATGAACATGATAGGCCGCAGAACAACAAAGACCACAGGTTTTCCATCTCACTCTATCCTCTCCTGCTCCATGGCCTCGATGGTGGCGGCCCGAGCCAGCACGCCGTTGATGATCTCCTTCTCCTCATCCGTGAGCTCCTCTCCCAACGCGGCGCCGGACGTGTTCATCCTCCACTCAGGCCTGTCCAATCCAGACACTCATAAGCAGACGCACACTGTAAATCACAGGAGAACACAACGGATACAATGTTAAAAAAAAGAGAGTGTGAAGCTGAAATCCGGCGACAGGAGCACATCTGGAAATGATGACTATACCTCTTAATGCCAAAAGGCAATCAGAAAGAACGAACAGTGAATGATTTTTTAAAAAAGTCAGTAAATTAAAAAACGAATTAAAATTTGAATTAAAAAACTGTTGCCAGACAGAAATTGGTTGTTTCTTTCTTAGGAAAATGCAACGGCTAAACAACTCTGCAAAGGTACTGAAAAGTGTGCATGCTTTCACAGATTTTTTTATGGTGGGAATATAATTTCAATGTATTTTCAAGGATCTGAGTGCTGAGTCAAACTCTGACCCAGGGAAATAACAGGATGTGACGCGTCGGGGCGAGCTGTGCTGTGCTGGTGCTGCGTGTGCAGCCCTGTGGGTGACAACTAAGAGGAAAACATCCAAACTACACAGCCGTGCCAGGTGTGCTTCCCGAGCATGTGACCTTAAAGAAGGAGCTGGTTGTGTCAACAGTATCGGTGTGTTTCAGACTCAGTTAGCCTCAGACTGGGCACCGGGGCTCGTTCACTAAAGGTCACCATCTGAGTGTAATTTTATTTTTCTGCCTCAATTTGGCGCAGGAGATTGGGATGTCACATCTGATTGCACTCTGCTCACGGTCAGGAATGTGTTTTCCACCTGGTGAAGATGAATACATGCAAAATGATGAATGGTAATGATAAATGTCATTTGAACACTTTATAACCTTTTTCTGGGTCATTCAAAGTGTTGTATAGTGAGTCTCATTCACACAGAAACACAAGCAGCATGTCATACAGTTCATGTTCAGAAATTGAACAGATTGATGATCGAAATGACAAAAAAATAGAAAAAAGCAGCTAAACTTTTAGTGCGGACAATTCCAATTTTTTGCTTTTTTCCAAATAAACCAAATAAATAAGGGCTGAATTTACATTTCAAACTTCATGTAAAACTGAATGGCTGATTTTTGTCCATGAATCATCCAACAAACTGCTGAATAAATTGCTCAAACTGCTGTCAGTTCGTGCAAACAAATCTGGGTAGGAGAATAAATCGGTGACGGGCACTTCCGCACATTATGCTTCTTGGATTTCGGTGTCCGTTTGACTGTCAGGATGGAGAGGAAGCTCATTTCCCCTCGTCTAATTTGCTGAACCACCTACTGAAACAGCTTCTGACTGTAAAGTCCCCAAACGTCCGCCGCTGGTGTCCCAGTGCACACGGAAACGGGCGTTAATCGAGTCTAACCGCTGACTGACTGCAGAAAGTGAGCTGTTAGTGGTAATGTGCTCCTGAAGTCTGGTCAGCAACGTGGAAGCCTGGAGACTCTTTGACTGTGGAGAGACGCGCTCATTATCTTTTGACAGGAACATTGTTGAGAGGGAAGCAATTTCTCCCCCCTCTGCTTCAGCCAGCGCGCAGGCCCAGATTCTAGCTGAAGGCTGTGGATAATTGTCATGAGTAAGTGTGGAGGAAAGGTCAGCACCAAGTCCGGTCTGTGCGTTTCATTCTGTGTGAAAGATCCAGAAAAAAAAAAACGGCTACTTGACCTGATAATGACTACTCAGCGGCTGAGCATCCTTCATCTTTCGGGTTATTTTTCTCCTCATCTCCCTTAAAAAAAAAAGAAGTCCCCTCCCCGGAGCGTGCAAATGTCAGCGGAGGCTGTCGCCGTGGACAACGTGGCAGCCACTGACAGATGGAGGTCTCCAAGTGTGAGTGTGAGTGTTTGCCTGGAAGTGCTCGGGGTGAGGTGGGGGTCAGAAAGAAAGACGCCCAGTACACACCAACACATACATCCGCTGCCATGATGAGTCAAATCACCGCTGGAAAATGACAAATGACTCATTAGATGGGACTGAAAGTGTCATCTATCGTAGAACGGACATCTTGGCCTACCAAGTGCAACGCCTACTGTCAGAGGGAAACGACATCAGGGCGTGCAGATGTCGTGGTTGAGCGGCACGCTTCACTGTCACGACCAAGGAAACAGAAAGAGAGAACTAAGACTAAGAAAGACAGACGGCAGAGGATGGGCAGGACGAGGATGGATGGAAACGCTGACCACAGACGTTTGGACAAAGATCTAACAAAGAGAGATTGAACTTTAAAGTGGGAGGCCGATTAATGAGTTGGTAAACTGTTGCGTTTCTACGTAAAAGTCACATTTATCGAATGGCCGATCTTCTTATGATTTACGCATTTTTTTACTACCCACATCATCTGTGAGATGTTACATTCGGCTCCGGTGAAATTAGTTTTTTTTGTGGATCGTTCTAGTTTGAAGACATCTGTGTCGTCTCATAGGCCAGAAAATTCCACGGAGACTGAAACATCATCTGATTCTCATTGCCATCCGCTTTAGAGAGCAGAAAATGCTTACACATGGCAGTATCATATCACTTTCACTTCTTTTTTTTCCCCATCTAATTGCCTCTCTGTTCGCCTTATGTGAAGCATTCACAGCAGCACTGGTGCAATCACATTAGAGCCGCTCTTCTCAAAGGGCGATGCTCATCGCTGAGGGCTGCTGGAGTCCTCTGTGATGTCATCCGCACTCCATTCAAAGAAGTTAATCTGCCCTATGCTTGAAGTTGTAGCTCAAATACAGCCATTTCTGGCAGCTGTTTACAAACATGAATCATTTCATCATTCGATCATTTCATGAATGACCTATTATGACTGTCTGTGCAGCTGGTCTCTAAAATGAAGGATCGCACCTATTATATGGTGCAAAAAAAAAAGAAAACATCTGCACATTCACCTGTCATTTCCCAAACCCTGGTCCTCATATACCATTGTTCTGCATGTTTTCCAGGTTTCCCTGCTACAGGATACCTGACTCAAACGAACAGGTCATCATCAGCCTTCTGCAGGCCTCACAGAGCTAAAAAGATGTCCCACTTATTTAAATCAGGTCTGCCGAAGCAGGGTAACTAGGCAAAGACGCAAAACAGTGCTGTAAACGAATAAAATTTCAAATGAAAAAGGTAAAGAAAGAATTTGTGGCACAGAAATGTAGAAAATTGCTGATGAAGACATAAAAAAAGAATTCAAAAGAATTAAACAGCCTTAGAGAAAAAAGTAGGAACGCAAAGGTTTGGATAGATTTAAACAAACAGTTTGTGTTGCCTTAAATACATTCATGTGACAGATTCCTCCAAGCATCACTTGAAAAAGCCTCACATTCTCAACTCGGCACTGACCATGACCTAAACCAAGGACACGTCACCACAGGAAGCCCGACTTGATTTACACTGCTGTAATGGTTGACCGCAGGGCGAGATCTCCTGGGAGCACTGGTGCTCACATGCATGTTTGTGGACGTGTGTGTGTGTGTGTGTGTCTGTGGAAGGCCGTGGAAGGGTCTATTTAAGATTAAAAGGTCATAAGTCATCCGGTGAACCAAGCGATAACAACTCAGATGGAGAAAAAGAGCAAAGAAATGTGAACTTCCATGAAAAGGTCATTAAACAGCTAAAGATGTTGGAAGTCAATTGAATGTGTTGTTTTTGATGTGTTTGGTTTGACATGTGACGTGTCGGATTCAACAGTGAGGAAGCACATGGAAGATTTTTCTAATCCAGAAATCTTTCAATATAAGGGTAAATGAGATATGAATAAATAGGTTTTAGCCATATGAAGAATGGAGATTTACTGAATAAAATAAGAGATAGGTGTGGCTCTGGTCTTACTTGGGTGGTTTTTCACTCAAACCTCTCAGCTATAGACATGTTCTCACAGCTGGAAATCCTCGAGTAGAAAATTGTCTTCCATGATGTGGGATGAAGGAGAAATAGAAGTTGGAAAGAAAAGTGGGAAACCAAAGCAGAAGTGATGAAAGTTGTGGATTAATCTGATAAACCCACATTATTTTAACCAATCCTTTTAATGTTTTGGGGGACTTTCATAATGACTTTCGCATTGCTTTGGTCATGAGAATCTCTCATTTTAAGACATGATCAAGTCAATTTTCAGTTAGGAAACATGTCAGGAAAACCTTTTATCCATATTTTTTAAAAACATTTTGTTGTGATATTAGTTGTGTGACATTACTGTTTATTTTGAGGAAGGCCGTGTTGCAGAAAGCCACATCAAGTCATTTTAGGAGTGACGGATAGAGGTCTTTGATGCACGTTGACATGCTGAAGCCACAATCAAATAAACCTAAACAGAACCACTATAGTGGAGAGAAAAGATATAGAATGGAGAGGAGCACATGGCGTGAAATCGTACTGGCATGCATCCACTGATTATCTGGTCTTCTTATTTGTTGGCTTGGGAAAAGTCTGAAGCAAAGGCCACTTTAGGGCAGCAGAGCATGAAAAAAGTGCACGGAGAGATATTCTGCTGCAGCGTTAGCTGTTAGCATCAATTCTGACCTGATTAATTCCATGAAACACAAACAATACTGATATTATTTTTCTTGGGGTTCCATGAAGAAAGTGCTTCTTTAAAGTGATTTTCCACACGTACATATAATTCGATTATCTGTTAATGAAACGTTTGATGGGTAGAAAGCAGGAAAAAAAACCCAGTTGACCTGGATAATGATCAACTGAAGTGTGAAAACATGGGCTAAATGGCTAAATCTGAATTAGAAGGAAAGAAACTGTGAGGAATAATCAGCAGGAGAGTAACTGTGAGAATTTGAGAAGGACTCAAAATAATGATTGATGAGTAAAAAGAGGGCAGATGTGACCGATTAGCAACAGGTGAGTGAGGAAGGAACCAATGGGGAAGTGAGGAAAACTATTCATAATGACCTAAACAGCAAAGGGAAACTGCCACAATAAAGAATATCAACCAAGGACACAGAAATTGTAAAGCCTTAAAAGACCAGAAACTAAAAGTAACTACAGTATTTAGAAGACAAATATAGAGACAAATATAATAAGTTATCTTCATTGAAACCAGGAGCTCTAAACACGAAGAATTCAAGAAGAAAATGGAAAAGCAACAAACATG